CTACAATGAATATTGAATGTTTGAATATTGGCACATTGCAGCCACAGTACTCTTTTGGATTGAGATAAACACAGATGTTTTCCAAAATCTGCATAAATAGGCAAAACACTGCTAGAATATTTGCTTTACACTCTATGTACCCTATCTCCCTCTACAAATTATTTTGGTTTTCTCACATCCCTCCCACCTCTGGTCCCCTCTGCTACCAAAGGACCCTGGAAAGATCAAATGTAGAAGACTTAAGAAAAAGTCTGTAGTTACCTCTTTTATTTTTAACATGAATCATGTTATTTTTGTGGTTTCTGTTTTAATCTTTTACACATATGATTCTCTCAATTAATATTAATATATATATACATATGTATATATATATACACACACACATACACACGCATATATATGTATGTATGTATCAGTATCCCTTGCAGCTGAAGACTGTGTCTGTGAGCACTGAACTCCACATTTCTGTAGTCCTTCTGAACCCTCCCTCATAACGCTCACTCACGATTCTCCACACAGGTGCACATTCAGAATGCTACCCTCGCAGGAGGAGTTGCTGTGGGCACTTGTGCAGACATGGATATTAGCCCATATGTGGCTATGATCATTGGAAGCATTGCAGGAGTTGTCTCCGTGCTTGGATACAAGTTCCTGACTGTAAGTATGGCAGATATTCTAAGCCAAATCTGGAATCTGTGTTGTTATCTTCTCTTATCCCATCAGCAGAGAAAAGGCACAAAGTTTCCTTTCATAAGTACCTTTCCTTGCCTGGAGGGTGTTTGCCATCCTTTCAGAAATACCACCCACATTTCAGGTGTCCAGTGGTTCTACTCTTTCCTGACCTCTCTGTGGCAGCTGGAGAAAGTCTGACATCAGTTACTTATAATTTAGTATGAATTTAATGTCAGGTGCTTGTGTGTGATTTTCCTCCACAGAATTTCCACTGTGTTATTGTTGTTATTGTTGTTGTTGTTGATTTTGTATAACTAAGGATTCTAGACTCCTTTAGGGTGTCATCAGAAAGTGAGAAGGAGTAGGATCTAAAATCACTCCCATTTCAACCCATCCACTAAAGATGGAAATGGTGGTTTTGCCACCAATATCCTCAAATTATTTGACATTGGTGGATTTCAGACATGGATAGAGAACCAAATTATAGAGAAGATTTCTTTTTCTGAGGCAGGGGAGGAAATGGGAAAGATGTAGATCAGAGAAAGTAGCAGATATGTAGGAAAAAGAACTTTAGAAATCTAATGTACAGCACGAGTGATACAGAATTTAAAATCTACTGTATGCAAAATTCGTGGTAAATGAGTGGTTTTTAGTTCTCATGCCACAAAAAAAGGGGGATAACTATAGAGATGTTAATTCACTTCACAATAGTAACTTTTTTACTGTTCATATGTATTCCATAACATTATGCCGTGCATTTTAAAGATACACAATAAAAATTAATTTATAAAATCTTTTTTCTGCATGGTTATTTCATATGTAACATATCTAGCAAAATAATAAGCCTTTCTCCTTTTATAATTATAGCCTTGTTTTGCTGCTAAATTGAGGATCCATGATACCTGCGGGGTGCACAACCTGCACGGCTTACCTGGCGTGATAGGAGGCCTCGCAAGCATTGTGGCCATAGTCATGGGAAAATCTAAAAAGTGAGTCAAAGAATGGCTTGTTCTCTTCCTGGTACTATCTTGTTTTCTCTCCTTCTTTGAGATATCCTTTAATGGGAGAACAAGGTTGTTTGGGGGATTTTGTTTAGGTTGGGTTTGGTTGAATGGTTGGCTTTTGTTTTTCTAGTATTTCAGCCCCAAATCTGTATTGTTTCTACCGCATTCAAAGAGACACAAATGAGAGAACAAAATTGTATTGAAAGATGCAACTTAACAAATTATTAATGCCCTTTTTAAAAAATTAATAATGTTCATTTAAATTTCTCTACCATAGAAAACTGTCATCAGACAGATTAGGCAATATGATAAGCACAATTGGATCGCAGTAGGCTTACTCTTTTGGGGGGGTCCCACCAAAATGGAGGAGAGGCACATGTGGTGAGTTGAAACAGTCACTTCCAGGAAATTTACACAACCAAGGATGAGTTAGCCTAATTTTGGATCTAGCAAATCTGGAAGGCAATGTGTGGCCCCAACACTGCTACCAACAAGTTATGTGACTTTTAACATGTTGCTCAACCTCTCTGGTTCCCCATTTCCTCCTCTATAAAATAAGAAGACAGGACTATTTCATCTCTAAAATCCCTTCTAGCTCTAACAGACTTAGATTCACCCCAAAGGGGACATAAATGTTTATTTAAATGGCCAGAGGGAAAATAGCAGTCAAGCCCAGAATGGAAGTGATACTAAAGGCTATCATTGCCACTTTTAGGCAACAAGACTGGAATAATTTGATATGATCACTCAGAAAGTAAGTAAAGAAGCAGAATTCTCAGTTTTAAAAGCCAGTTTTGCCAGGTATGGTAGCCCATGCCTGTAATCCCAGTGGCTCAGGAAGCTGAGGCAGGAGAGTCACAAATTCAAGTCCAGTCTCAGCAACTTAGAATGACCCTAAACAACTCAGTGAGACTTTTTCTCTATATAAAATATAAAAAAGGGCAGCGGATGTGGTTCAGTGGTTAAGCACCCCTGGGTTCAATCCCCAGTACCAAAAAATAAATAAAATAAAATAAAAATATAAAAGCCAGTTGAAGCATGAAGAAAAAGTGAACATGTATCTAGAAATGTCTCAGGATAACTACTGACTAGAGTTGCATAATTGGAAAAGAAAAAAAAATTTCTTCGATTTTAGCAAATTAAAATTTAACCCTATTGAGACGAGCAATAAGTGTTTTAAAATTTAATCATATTTTTTTCTGAGTAAAAACTGTGCTTCCAAATTTACACATATGGTTGACCCTTTTCATCTACATGCTATTTTTTAATCCCTTCTGAAATTTGAAAGACAACCCCCAAAATATTCACTCTTTCGCTTCATTTCTCTCCAATACCTAACAAGCTATTGAGAATGAACATGAAAATATTTTCTTGCAAATCAAGCATGATAAAAGCATGTGCCAATGAGCTCAACTCCTAAGTGTTATAATGTGTACACACGGTGTAAAAACATTAGAAGCTGCCTTCTGATTGGGAATTCTTGATCATCATGCCCAGACCTGTAACACAGATGTAATAAAACAAGTCTACCGGCTTTTGAGAGCTGGGCCTCACTGGGTGGCCAAACATTGGGTTAGTCTCGTGGTTAAGGGTTTAGACTTTGCTTATACAGGTTTAGTAATATCTTCTTCATTTATTTATGGAGGAGTGGGGACAATGGCAAAGGAATTGAAAGGAGCAAGCCTTGAAGGCTCATGTACCTGGCTAAAATTCACATTTAAAATAAAAACTTTCCTGAGAGACAAGACAATCACAAGTGTCCATTTGGAATATTAAAATTCAAATCAGGCTTTGGTGTGTGAAGAACAAAGGGAAGTTAAGATTCTTAAGAGACATTTTTGCAGATGATGGCAGCCTAACTCCAATGATGTTATTAATTTTGTTTAATTAATTGTTTTCCATACCTATTTGATAAAAGAATAATTTTCATCAAAAATACCTTTTAGCTCTGTATATGATCTTAGCAAATTCCTGTAAAATTAGCACATAAATTAGAAAGAAGGAAATCAAATAAATAATATGTATTAAATATTCAACTTCACTAGTGATCAGACAGATGCAAATTAAAACAAGTTACCAGTTTTTTCACAAATCAAGTTGATAGAGAATACATGAATAATAATATTGAAAGGTGGTCAAAGAAGAGAAATGGAGATATAAACTATACACTTATCTGTTTGGAAAAATCCATTAAATATAAATATATATAATATCATTTTTAAAATATAATATCATTTTTAAAATAGATTTTATTTTATGAAAATATTTGGACAAGTTTGAGATCACATTCAGAGGAGGATATGTTCTTACAACATTTTGAAAATATGAAACACTGGGAGGAAACTAAATATCAGCCTATGGAACTATATGCAGTAATATGCTGTAGCAATTCAAATTATGATCCTGCTCTATATTTGATAACATGAAAGGATATTTCAGACATTTAATGGGAAAATCAGTGCTATATACATTTTTATTTTATTATTTAATTTATTTGTTTTTGGCACTGAAGATTGAAGCCAGGGGCACTTAACCACTGAGCCCCATCCCCCAATTTTTTATTTTTATACAGGATCTCACTAAGTTTTTTAGGGCCTTGCTAAGTTCCTGAGGCTGGCTTTGAATTTGTGATCCTCCTGCCTCAGCTTCCCAAGCCATTGAAAATACAGGCATGTGCCGCTGCACCAGGACTGATATATTTTTTTTAATTCGTTATATTTTTATTCTGATAAGGTTTGAGGAATATTAAATGTCTTCTTTTCCTTTTTATTCATTTGTGGTTTCTAATATTTAGATTGATATATTGTTACTTGTACAATTTTTTATGTAGAAGAAAATTTTTTAAACTTTCAAATAAAGAGGAAAAAAATGAGTTTAGTGTTTTCTTTTCCTTGGATCATGAAGCTGAAACACCAATAAACTCTCATTTTCCAGTTGTTTGTTTTCCTGCAATTACTCATATCATCTTTCAACAACTCTATTAATTGCCTTCTATGAGAGAGGCCCAGGAGACGCCCACATTCCTAATTCCTTTGTCACTCATTTAACAGCCTGAAGCATTTCAGTCACCTTTTATCACATTCTCTGTTCCCAAAATTATAAGGTATTTTTTCACTAATTTTATTTTGAGGTAACTACTTATAAGATCACAGATATTTATTTAAGTATCTTCAATGAGTTCTCTCACATATGCTAAAATTAGCATTCTTTAGCCTTTTAATAGATTTTCTAATTCTGTTATAAGTTTCTTTAGAGTGTGATGAAGAAATAGTTGCTTTTTTATATGTTAATTGCTGTCTAGAAGAGAAGCTGACACAGGGCTAGTACTTAATAAATATTTATTGAATAAATTAAAACAGGGATCAATTTTTGAGAGTGCTAAACTCTTTCTAGGGAAGACCTTCTTATCATTCCTGAAGATGCATCAAAAGATGATTCTTAAGTTTATTTAAGAATTTTCTACCACTACTCAAAAGTCTCAAAGAAATTAAAGGTACAAAAGAAAAATATTGGTCTGTTTGCTGGCGTGTAATTCTGGACTCTGTCCTGAAGATGGCAGGATCCCCCACTGTCAGCAGGTGAGATTCCTTGGCTGGTATCCAGGAAAAACAAAATTCTTTTGTTTGTCTTCTTAGGTCTACCATAGCCATGCAAGCAGCTGCCTTGGGTTCTTCCATTGGAACAGCAATTGTTGGAGGTATTCTTACAGGTGAGTAAAAAAGTCAGTACTTCCCTGTACCCTATGGTCTCTGGATAATAGCTGGTTAATAAGCAAGTCAAATGGTAAATTCAGAGTATTCTAAGCTTCTGGCTGTAAAATAATTATGTCAGTTTAAGGAGGTGATTTTGTAACAGTGTTTTAATTACTATTTCCTCTTCAGCCTCACAATATGATTTATTTTCCCTTTACCTTCACAGGTTTAATTCTAAAGATACCTTTCTGGGAACAGCCATCTGACCAGAATTGCTATGATGATTCTGTTTATTGGGAGGTACTGTACAGAATCCTAAACAATGTAGTTGGGAAATGTGGTACACAACCTTAATTCCAGCAACTCAGGAGGTTGAGGCAGGAGCATTGCAAATTCAAGACCAGCCTCAGCAATTTAGCAAGACCATCAGCAACTTAGTAAAACCATGTCTCAAAATTAAAAAAAAAAATAATAATACAATAAAAAAGACTGGGGATATAACTCAGTGGTTAGTGCCCCTGGGTTCAATCCCCAGTATCAAAAAATAAAAATTAAAAGAAAAAGAATGTAAATGATAGCTCTACTAGTAAAAAGTTTTGCTCATCTTAAGCATACATGCCTGTGTGGCATCCATAAGATGAAAATGGATGATATCCCCGTTTAGACAAAAATAGAGACTGTACATCCAACCAGATAAAATCAGAATTTATGAGTTTTTTCCAAAGCAGAAACTTATGAAGAAAAGACAAAATTTAGTTGACAAGTGTCTTGTCACTCCTCTGATAACAATTAAAAAGAGCTACTTATAAAAAGAAATAAGTTCCGAGCAAGAGTGTGAGACATTATTCCAAAGGTAAAAGTAGGCAGAAGCAAATGGAATGTGTAAAGTTGAAGACCTTGAGTGAGTACACATCAACAGGTTCTATAATAACAAAATCAGCTTCTTCCTATTCTCCACTTTCTGCCTATTTACTCCATTGACATTTTGTTCTACTGTTTCTTGTAAAACTCAAGTGAGATAGATGTTTGCGTTTTTCAGCAGGACTTCCAGGGAGAAGAGGCTTGGGAAAGGAGGAAGTGTAATCAAAGTGGATGAGATAAATAGTTTTGTTCTTAAATTTTTTCCTCAACTCCAACTTATTCCCAGATCTTTCTAACTTCAGATAATAATTAAGAAAATACCATTGTTTCAATACTCAACGTCTGTCAGACCCAGTGAAAGAATCTTGTTTTCTTTAAAGGTCCCTCCAGAGAAAGAATATGACAGACACTTCCAACTCCACAACCTGCTGGAACCTGAAGCCTAATACCATTGCTGTGCTCCAGCTTTCTTTTCTATCACATACAGTCAAGGTTAAATAAAGAAAAAGGCAGCATGTGAAGAGAATATGGACCAGAGTGGATCGATGCTAATCCCCAAATAGCCAATGTAAAAATGTCTGTATATCTGATGCTGTCTCTTGATTTTAGAATGCTTGCTTAATTGAAGGGATATGGCTCATAAAACAGATGGTCAATGCTTTCTATCCAGAACTTAGAATGCTTTTGCCAGTAAGTAGGTTCAGAATGACAATTGATGTATGTTCTTGAATTTTTCCCAAAGAAGTAGGTTACATAGAAATCAACGCTTCTTAGTCATGTCAGACTTTTAATGTAAATACAATTGATATAATTCCTTCAATCCTTATGATTTTAAAAGGGAAGCCAATGAAACAACAATAAGTACAAGGAATCTACATTAGAAAAATGAAAGAAGTGCTTGTAAATATGCAGTGATATTATTGTTTTGGGTAGTGTTTGTTATTTTAATAGATCACATTAGTAATATTATATCTTGAATATTTTTAATTCCTTTAGCAAATTTAGTATTTTCAGAAAGAGTTCAACTGCTATATTATCACCATCCATTTTGTATAAAATTTCAAAGAATTAAAAATTATAAAATAAAGCATTAGTCTTTAAATCTCCTTTTTTTGTTGGTTAAAAATTCATTTTAGTAATATGCACGAACACACACACTCACCCCCTCATATTTCATCCATACTTAATTAAATGTATTGCTAATGTATTTAAAAACCAAGTAATTGTCTTATATGATAAGTTTTTAAAAAATCAGTTTTAGGGCTTGGGATATGGCTCAGTGATACAGCACATGCCCAGTATATGTGAGGCAGGGGTTTGATTCCCAGCAATCTAAAACAAAAAAGAAAAGAAGGAATGAAGAAAGAAAACTTTCAGGAAAATCACATAACTTTTTTTTTTTTTCTGTCTGGAAAGTTTTAAGATTTATCTTGTATCCCTGAAGTCCTGAAATTTTGCCAGAATGTGTATCAATGAGGAATTGGGCGCCACCATAATTAACAGAACTTTAGTTTCTGACTGCTAGGACTTTAAAATTACAGCTAGGAATAGATTGCTTAATATTTTATTTCAGGGAAAATATATTATCATTTACTTATATTGCACTGGCTATTCAGGTGACTTCTTTCACCCAGGACCTCCTTCTAACAACTCTTCTAAGTGTGCTGTCTTACAAGTATGTCCACTATTCCCTCCCTTGCTAATAATCGCAAGGCTTTTGAGACTGCCTAAGGCTTTTGAGACTGCCTGAGTCCCTGCTGATCACAAGGCAGATCTCAGAGGGTCTTGGCTATACTTGGGTCTAGGAAAAAAAAAAAAAAACTATTATTTTTATTTGCTCAAGAACTATGTCATGAAGGCCATCACGTTCTGGGCTGTGAACACTCAGATCTGCCTCCCTGCAATGCAGTTTTTACCAACAACAAAGCCTTATTTTTTAAATTTGGAGTTAACAGCCTTTTTTCACAGTAGTATATCACCTCTTTCTTTCTATCTTGCCTGGGATTTACTGAATCACTTTAATCTGAAGAGCTGAATCTTTTGCTTAGATAAATTATCTTACTACTTAATAAAATTCCTCTCCTCTATTCATTTTTGTTCTGCTAGCACTATATCAATCTCATGGAAAGTCTGTTGGATCTGTTATCCAAATCTTTCTCACTTTATTTCATTAGTTCACTTCATTTTCTGCTTTAATTCATTTTTGCTTGTTTGCATATTTGAAAATTGTTGTCCATTTTTATAGATCCAACAAAGTTTTGTGTGTATGTGCACAGGTATATATGTGCTGTTCTTAAATTTCCTTAATTTCTTTCATAATTTTGTTTATTGGGAGGGGTTTATTTTTGTTCACTTTTAAAGTCTAATCCTGCTCTTAAATTTATTTATTGTTTATCTATTCCCTGCAAATATTAAGATGTCAAGTAATACCAGTTTGTTAGCTGTTTGCTTTGATTAAAAATCTCAAGTTCTACCTAGGTGATCAGTTTCAGGAAGCTTTCATTTTTCTTTGCTCCTTTGTCTAAATCTGAAAGATTGGCCCATAATTATTAACTGCAATTTCAGAAAGTTTTGTGAAAGCTGAGATAGTTTCCGGCTTATTCCAGCCCTTGTTTTCATAGTCTTTAAGCTGTTTATTGCACAAGATAAGAAAGCTCTGTTGATGGGGTCAAAGGGAGTCTCCACAAGTTCTACTTTGTTAGAAATCATTATCGTTTAAAACAAACTCTTACTGGTCTCTTGATTCTTTTCACTCTGAGTGCTGGAACCCACTAGGTAGATTGTCCATTTCTTCTGTCTATTCACTAGAAGTTAAGTTCCTGCGCTGAAGTATGGGTGCGGGAGGGAGGCAAAAGTCTTGAAAATGTAAACCAGGTATAGTGGCCCACACCTTTAATCTCAGTGGCTCAGGAGGCTGAGGCAGGAAGATAGCAAGTTTGAGGCTAGCCTCAGTAACTTAGCAAGGCCTAACCAATTTAGTGAGATCCCAGCTCAAAGGTTGGTGACTTAGCTCAGTGGTAAGGCACATTCCATTTGCTCCTAGGTTCAATCCCCAGCAAATTCACTTCCTCTGGATTGACATCTCAAGAAAATCTTTCTGTTTTCTAGTCTTTTCAGCAAGCAAAGCTTAGCATTCTCCTAGAATTGTGGCTGAAAGTGACTTAATGTCTCTTTTAAGACCTTCTGCAGCTCCTGGGGGACCAGGAATACTTACTAACAACCCAGAAACATCAATTGAGAAGATAAATCAACAACCCATTGGCATTCACAAATCTCTGAGAACTAATAATACCCAGATCTTTACCTGTGGGTCTCCTTCAACAGCTTCCAGCCTCCAAACTCTCCTCCACACAAAGGAGAAAAGTTCTCTATCAACATAGTTTTTTGTTTCCCCAGAATCCATACAAATGGCCAACAGAATCCAAACTTTTACATCTTCCAGGCATGGTTGCTGCTTATCTCAGGAGAGATCCTATAGTTCAATTAGAATTGTGGAATGAGATCAAAAGAGACACATTCAAGCTCCCATCTTCCCCACTTAAATAAAATATAACGATTTCATGTATTTTACAATTTAAAAATGTTTCTTATGGCATTTAAGTGTGAAAAAATAAATTTCTTAAGAACTGACACACTCATTTTTTTCCATAACCTTTACATTTGGAATAAAGCACATAAATTAGATGCTTGTTTAGTAGGTGAGTGAATAAATAATTAAATAAAAAAAGAAGCAAAGGGACATATTTTTAATTTTTGTTCTTCTTTGTTCCAGACTCTGTAAATACAAAAATGATCAAGTTCTCAATCTTTCTCTAACTTTTCATAACATTGACCCTTTTGAAGACTATAGGCCAGTTATTTTGCAAAATGTCTCCAGTCTGGATTTGTCTGATGTTTCCTCCTTAGATTCAGTTTATATGAATTTACCAGCAGTGTTGCAAAAAGAAATGTAATTGCTGGACCACATCCTATCAGTTGGAGCAGTTTTTGAACTTGTTGTGTTATTGATGATTGCTCACTTAGCTCACTGATTAAGGTAGCATGTTTTTTCTCTTTAAAAAGTCTTCTTTCTACCTTTGTAATTAATATTATTTTGTGGGAAGCAATGTGAAGTGTTCTATATCCCTATGCCAATGTCTTATTCCTCCTCAATCTTGAAATGTATTCATTTACTAATTTATATCACTATAGTCTCATGATTTTTATTTTAGTAAATTATATACAATACAATACAAGATTGTTGTGATGAGAAAATTGTCCCAGACTTGGCCCATGCAAGCCTATTCCAGCTGGTTTCTATGTCTTTTTGACATGTACTTCACCTTGTGCTTTGCCTGCTCCAGCTCTGGCATCAGCCATTTCTTTGAGTCCTGCTTCCTTTCTACAAGGTAGATGTGCTCATTGCCTCTTTTTGGCCCTCTCTGTTGTTGTAAGAGATAGGGAATGTAAATGTGTGTTTGAATAGATAGATTTGCATCTATTATAATTTCTTCATTGACATAAATATTTCTATATACAATGAGGGTTGTTATAATACTTGTTTTGAAAATGTGAATTTGTTCCAGTACAATTGATATCTTAAGGAACATATTAATCATGTCATAAATTTCATGGTTACATATGCATGATTTCATTTGCAAGAAACACAAAGTGAACACAGAAAACTGCACCTTGCTGAACAAGACAGTCCACAAATGTGCCTATGCATGTACATGCACACAAACCTATAACCAGCTCCGTCAGTTTATCTCATGTATTAAGACCACATCCATTTTATCTGGTGCCTAACTTTCTGATTACAAGTAACCCTCCTTCTACCACTTCACAATAACTCACAAGTTGCAATCTTTCTGAAGTCCACTTCCACAAGCAAACTTTAGGTCCTTTTCAAGGTAAAGTGCGATGTTTAGAAAGTAAACACACAACTCCAGAAAGAATCTTCACTCATACTATCAAGTTGCTTTATCTTCTTTTAAGAACTTGGAATGGGACCTTATAGCCAATGCCAATTTTATGTAGTTCATGCCAGAAAAAAGATAGTAAATTTTAATCAGTAGACTCAAAGGAACACACTTCGTTTTTATGAAACGAGGTTGGTAAATAAATGCATACATGTGTACCTTTATTCCCTAACTCCTTCTCATTGATTTTAAATAAGTTTTTCAATTAAAATGCCAGACTTTAGATGGCAGAGATTTAACAATGTTGAATTTTACCTGACCCCTTGTGAAAATAGTGAGGGGTGAAAAGAATCCACCCAACCCTGCTGTGTTCCAGAAAATGGCTTTCAGCAAAATACACCCTTCCAACATGACCTAAATTGTATTCGCAGATGCCCCCTGGCTTACCTATAACAATGCCAACCACAGGTGTTTCAAATTCTTTCATAAATGATTAGCTGAGCTACTTTTCCCCACTGGTTAATCTTAACCAAATTAGTTAATGTTCTCTCCTTGCCCTAGGCTGCTGAACTTTGGCCCACCCTCAGCCCAAGCCAGCATGAAAACTCTCCAGACAATAGACCGGTCAGGGCTAAAATATTCCCTGATTTATTATCCAATTATGCCAATCTTTCATCCTACAGACCCAACTCTTTCTAATCTGTTTACTTTTCTCTATATTTCTAAGACTCAATAAATATAATTGGGATTCCAATTTATTGACCAAGTTGCCTTCTTTGTGAATAATGGTACATATTTCTCTATTTACAGATTAATGGATAATCCAAATTCTAATTATATTTTAGTTTTGAGGAACAATCTTGGGAGGGAGACACACAGATTAATAATAATAGCACATTTTATTAAAAAATTAACTATTTACATAATAAATTCTACCACAACCCACCAAAGTACATCAAATTTGGGGAGTCAAATTGTCCTTTTGTAAAATTAGAAGTTTGGTAATCTGATTCTCTATAATGGTAGAAAACACCCTCCACCATTAACAAAGAGACATCTGATCAATGAATCCTATTATTTCCATATATTTATTTCAACCTTAATAAACATGCTAGATGAATAATACTATATACTGAGACACAGAGAATTTAAGTAGCTTTCCACAAGCAAACTAATAAAAGGCAGAACTTAAATTTAAACTCAGATCTGTTTGGTGCCAAAGGTCAAACTCTTTTAATCATTGTGCTATATCAGACCCTCCTTAAGTCCAGAAATTAATTACTGTAGTATCATATGTGAATATTAAGGGAGAAGGATTTTTGGTGATATTCAAGAATTTAAGTTTGCAAAAGGGAGTTGTATTTTTCAGCAAAAGTCTAACTTTCATTAAGTTATATTAAGGCAAGCAGCTTATATTTCTGATTTTTTGTTTAATCTAGTTTTTAAATTTGTTTTGACTTCATAGCTATATTAAATATGTAAGAAGAAAATAGATACTATTTAAATTTTACAAATATCTAACTATTATACTAACATAATTTAAATTTTAAAAAGTACTAGTGCTTGTGATATAGCTGATATATGGACATTATATATATATATATATATATATATATATATATTATACAATCAGAATGGCATAATTAATGTTCTTGCATTGTTTGAAAATAAGGAAATTCAAACAGAAATTTGAGATCACTTTCACATACCTATTTATGAAGAAAAGGAAAAGAGCTAATTAGAGCCATTTCATATAATTCATCAACTTTGCTCTGAAATTTTTAGCTTGGTGGTTTGTGTCCAGGCCAGTCTATGACTCCCCCCACCCCCATTACTCTCTACTTGTTTGTGCCTAAATTTTCTATAACCATCTGTTATAGTCTGAATTGTGTCTTCCAAATTTCATAAGCTGAAGTCTTAACTTCCACTGTCTCAGGGTGTCACAATGTTTATATTCAGAGATAAGACTTTAGACAGGTAATTAAAATTAACTGAAATCTTGGGATAGGCCCTATTATAATAGGACTAGTGTTCTTATAAGAAGAGATTAGGACATGGATACATACAAAGGAAACCCTGTGTGGAGACATATAGAAAAGAGAGCCATCTATAAGTCAAGGAGAGAAACCAACTTTGTGGACACCTTGATCTTGACCTTCTTGTCTGCAGTATTGTGAGAAAATAAATGTCTGTTGTTTCATTTCCTCATTTTGTCATTTTGTCATACTTTTTTACAGCAGCCCTAGAAAATTAACATGTATCCTCTTTGACTTGGGAATTGCTCCAGGTTCTCCTCACTGCCTCTTTCTTTTCTCCATCTTACTGCTACCAGGTTTACTGTATTTTCATCCTGTTGTCTCTCACTGTATGTTTCCCTCTCAGAACTTTCTGTAACAGTGTCTTGGTTATAAGACCCTTGAATAGGCTGGGAACTCATTTTGTCTTGCAGAATCAGCTAGTTGGGTTGGATCTTCAGCCACTAAAGCTCATGGTCAAATGACAGTTTTTGCTCGTAATATATAACTAACTCTGCACCTAAGACTAGTCTTAGCACCCAAGAGCTAAGATGAAATGGAGGCTGGTAAGGTTGTATGATTATGGTACGATTATGGTATGATTATGACAATAGTACTTCAGTATGAGAAAGTGTGAATTCTAGAGCCAGACTGCCTGAATTTGGACACACATCCACACATGCCCAGTTCTTATGTAATATATTTTTTGTTTTTCTACCAAGAATGGTGAAAATATTACCTGTTCTCATGCACTTACTCTATTTATTCTGTATATACACATCAATAGTTATAATACAGTAAATACATGATAAACTCTGTAAATATCATTATGGTAACCATAGCAATAATATCACATATTACCCCAATCATCTGCCTTGAGCAATGACCACCTATACCCATCAATTTTCAGGCATGGTAGCATATATATTACTTGTCCAGAATTAATACCTCATCTCTGACCTGCAACATAATCCCCACTCAGATATATAAGGAAAGTCCTAATTTACTATGAATAATGGTACATATTTATATATTTACAGATATTTACAGAGGAAACTAATGAGTTTTCTCTCTGGCTTTCTTAACTCTATGACAAGATTTTTAAATTTCTAACTTTTTCTAAAATTGTAAAAATAATTCACATAAATGACAAGTATTTGGCAAAAAAAAAAGTCTAAGAGTACTGATTTTTTTCTAAATAACAAATGATAGTTTCCCTTTCCTTAAACACTATCCAGATGCCCTGTCCTTCCTAACAGATGTTGCTATTATTAACAGTATAATTCGATTCTTTAAAAAAAGGATTTATAAACAAGTTGTGGTAACATAAGGCCAGGAAGGGAGGCTATTTTAAAGTTCTTCTGCTATATAAAACCCATATAATGTCACTAAAAGATAGATGATAAATTAATATTGTGTGCTAAACCTCCAAGGCAACTGTTAAAATAACAAAACAGAGTTATAGCTAAGAAGCCAAAAAGAGATACTCAAGAAGGTAGAAATGAGAAAGAAAGAGAGAGAAAGGAAAGAACAGATGAGCTAAATAAGAAACAAATGACTTAACCATGTCACATTAAATATAAATGGTCTAAGCATTTGAATTAAAAGACAGAGATTGTTGGATGGGATAAAAAAAATTGCAAGACCAAACTATGTGCTGCCTTCAAAGAAGCATTTTATATAAAGACAAAAATAGGTTAAAAGTAAATTAGTAGGGAAAATATGTGCCCTGTTTATATTAGTCACAAAAAGTTGGGAAAGCTATATTAATAGAGGCAAATTAGATTAAAAATAAAAAAACAGGAATATTAAATGTAATCTCAAAATAATAAAATGGTTAATTATTCAGAAGGACAGAATAATAGATACTCTTCTAATGTCAAAACCTCAAAATCATGAAGTAAAAATATATAGAAATGCAAAGACAGATAGAGAACTCAAAGATTTCATTATTCCTCTCTCAATAATTAACAGCAGATAAAAAGACCTAAATTTCTTAACTCATATGTCAGAAAATAATGGTGACTATAATCAACAATTATCCTTAAATATTAAGAAGTACATCCATAAGAAACATTTATGACTATATTTTGGGGCTGTTAGTCAGCTATAATCAAATTTTAGATGCTATGTTATGAAAGCCAGATGTGTGAATCACGAACATCTGGAACTAGCAACACATGACAGATTAAAAGCTTTGGAGTCAGGCACACTTGAGTTCTTACCAATTATGTGATCTGGGCCATATTACTTAACTTCTTAAAGTCTGAGCTTCTTCATTTGTAATGTTGGAATAATAATGGCATGACTAGGACCTGTTATTACAGTATTACCTCTTATTATATAACAATTTGAAGGAATCGATTGCAAGTAATTTAACTCCTGTCACGTTCCCATTTGTCTGATTGAACTCTTTGCTTCTTCCTCTGCTCTTTGTCTTGAAAAAATGATCCTATTGCCCTGTAACACTATTAAATGTAAATGTCACTAACAAGATGGCTTTGAGACTAAGAGTCATTTTCTATGCAAAGAAACACTGCTCTTTGTTTTGTCCCTGTAGCTGCCTCTCTTACACTATTCAAATGTTCAAGACTTGGCTCAAGAAAATTATCATCAGTGTCTGTTAGAGAAGTTTATCTGAGATTATGTTCAACCAATCCAAGATCATCCCAAGCAGGGCCTTTAAACTATAAAACTTTTAGTATTATGTAAATACAAGTGGTCCAAGGAGCACTGTAGGAGGAGTGAACTTAATTGCACCTCTGTTAAAAAGTAGCTATCAGAGGGGCTGGGGTTACAGCTTAGCTGTACAACGCTTGCCTTGCACATGTGAGGCACTGGTTTCAATTCTCAGCACCACATAAAAATAAATAAATAAAATAAATATATTGCATTCATCTTTAAAAAAAAAATCTTTTAAAAAATGGAGCTATCAGATCCTCACCAAATCCCTGACCTCTTTGAGTTACAATTTTCATACTCACAAAATGGCAGAATTTGACATCTATGGTCACTTGGTTCTTCCCAGTCCTATGTCACCAGGAATGATTATCTGAAAACATAAAGTTTCAAAGATGTCAGTTATTCATTCACTCTTTTATTTATCTACTAATTGAATAAGTATTTATTAAATGCCAGGCACTGTTCTAAGTTTTTGGGAATTCCACAGTAAAGCAAAAAAAGAAGTCGTCCTCACTTTCAAGAATTTCTGATTTCTTGCAGAAAACAAATGATAAACTAAACATTAAATATATAACATGATGATGACTAGAAAAAAATTGAGGAAAAAACGCTATTAAAAAGGCAATATATCAGTTGGTCCAATCTGTTGACCTAGTTCCTGGTCAGTCATTCTGACACAAAAAGGGAAGACTGCCTTTCTTTCTTGAGCAAGTCGAGAAGAATGAGCAACTGTCTTTCAGACACATGATTAAAAGTACACAAAAAAGTGGCAAATTTGATGGAAAAAAAAAGAAAACTTCCCTTTACAGAAAAGAATTCAGACATAATAGATGAGAGTTTGTCAGTGGACCAAAGATAAATGAGGAACGCCAGGCACTGAGCTTTTAATACACACTAGGGGCAATGTACATGTTAACTCTGTATTCATCAGTCCAACCTTTGTCTACAGTATCATTATCATTTTTCTCATTGTGAACATAAGAAATTAAAACTTAGTAAGTCAAGTAATCTGGTGAGACTGTGCCAGGATCTATGCACAGCACTAAGTTTAAAATCAGTTCTCTTCCACTCCTTTAAGAGGGTGGAAGAGGCTGACCATTATAAGGAACTTGAGGAGCAAAGTGAAATTAAGCCACTCTCTCTCACCATGCACAAAACTCAACCCAAAGTGGATAAAGGACTTAGGAATTAGACCAGAGACCCTATACCTAACAGAAGAGAAATCAGGCCAAATTTTTATCATGTCGGATTAGGTCGGATTTAACCAGATTCCTAAAGTGCAAGAAATAAAATCAAGAATTAATAAATGAAATGTATTCAAACTAAAAAGCTTCTTCTCAGCAAAGGAAATAATCAATAATGTAAACAGAGTGCCCACAGAATGGGAGAACATCTTTACTATCCGCACATCAAATAGAGCACTAATCTCCAGGATATATAAAGTACTCAAAAAACTTAACACCAAAAAAATAAAAAACCCAATCATAAATGGGCCAAGGAACCAAACAGACACTTCTCAGAAGAAGATAGACAATTGATCAACAAATACATTTTAAAAAATGTTCAACCTCTCTAGTAATTAGAGAAATACAAATCAAAACTACTCTAAGATTTCATCTCACTCCAGTCAGAATGGCAATTATCAAGAATACAAGCAATAATAAGTGTTGCTGAGGATGTGGAGAGAAAGGTATACTCATACATTGCTGGTGTCACTGCAAATTGGTACAACCACTATGGAAAGCAGTATGGAGATTCCTTAAAAAACTTGGAATGAAACCACCATTTTACCCAGTTATCCCACTCCTCAGTTTATACCCAAAGACTTAAAATCAGCATACTATAGTGACACAGCCACATCAATGTTCACAGAAGCTCAATTCACAATAACTAAACTGTGGAACCAACCTAGATGCCCTTCAACAGATGAATGGATAAAGAAAGTGTGGTATATATACACAATAGAATATTACTCAGCATTAAAAGAGAATAAAATTATGGCATTTGCAGGTAAATGGGTGGAGTTGGAGAATATCATGCTAAGTGAAGTTAGCTAATCCCAAAAAATCAAAGGCCAAATGTTCTCTCTTATAAGTGGATTTTGATCCATAACTAGGGAGGACGGGGGATGGCAGTGTAGGGAGAATGGAGGAACTTTGGGCAAAGGGGAAGAAGGAGGGAAAAGGATGGGGGTTGGGAGCGGGAAAGATTGTGAAATAAGATGATCATCATTACCCTAGGTAAATGTATGACTATACATATGGTGCAACTCTACATTGTGTACAACCAGAGAAATGAAAAGTTGTGCTCCTTTTTGTACAATGAAGTGAAATACATTCTTCTGTCATGTATAACTAATTAGAATTTTTTTAAAAAATTTTTTTTTAAAAAATGCATGTACAGTTGAGCTCCCCCAACCTGAAAGTCCAAAATCCAAAATGCCCTAGAATCTGAATTTTTTTGAGCACTGACATGATGCCACAAGTGGAAAATTCCACACCGGATCTTATGTGATGGGTCACAGTCAAAATGCAGATGCATTAAAAATATTGAACACAATTACCTTCAGCCTATGTGCATAAGGAACATATGAAACCTAAATGAATTTTATGTTTAGACTTGGGTCCCATTCCCCAAGATACTTCATAAGTATATGCAAATATTCCAAAATCCAAAGAATCTAAAATCTGAAAACACTTCTGCACTCAAGCATTTCAGAAAGAGACTCTCAAGCTGAATATACATACATGAGGATATTATAAATTTACCAATATAAATATATGTGATACAATTGGCAGATAATAAGCTACTCAGTGGTCCTTCGTGAAGACCCATACTGTTCATTGATTCTCAGAAAGGCTTTTGTTGATTTTTGTTAAATAATGGTTGCAATTTAGTGATGGTTTGACAAATGGAGTTGTATCTCAATCTCTTTTCCCAGTATATTTATTGTCACTATCTATGAGATCTATTTATAAACTAACTATTATGTAGAAAAAAAGGAACTTGAAATTCTTGATGGTGAGCTGTTGTTATTTAACCAACCACACACAGAATGTGGTGCGCCTTAGCAAACTACACAATCAATTGTATTATAAAACCATAGTTTCATATTGAGGATTAAACATGTACTATCTATCAGAAAACTTAAGACTAATCTTGGTTTTACAGGAAAAGAAAATCCTTCCAGATTTTATTTAATAAAGCAGATTGAACTGAAAAGTGAAAAAGGAGAAAGGCGGAAGGAGTTCAAAAAAGGCAACAAAACAGTGTAGGGCTTAATTCAGTTCTATTATAAAATAGATGAAAGACCATAATGTGGAGCAAACATTACCAACATCTTCAAAACTTTCATTTGTTTGGAAGCTGTTGGTTTTTGTCTGGTTGTAATTGTGACAAAATCTCTATTGTTTAAATAATTATTTCAACTAATTGAACATGAGTGGGTTTGATTCTTTTGCCATAATTTCAATTCTTGGCCTAATTCTTATTTTTATTTTAAATATTAAAATATTTATGACTAAAACATCCAAGCAACATTCTCCTCCAGGACCCAAACCTTGGCCAGTTATTGGAAATCTGCACATCCTCAATCTGAAGAGGCCATATCAAACCATGCAAGAGGTAAAAAAGAAAAAATATATATTGTTAATTTGATTCTTATTTATAATTTCTAAATCAGTCTTGCCCTAGTATGTTTATTAGTATGCATATTAACAACAGTTCCTATATGTATTGGGAGGGAATTTAGGTAGTATTTGAAATTAACAGATCTGCTTTAAATTTGAACATATGTTAAAAATTAGCACAAATACTTCTATTTTGAAAGCAGTATTTTAACACTAAAATATTTTAAACTTGTACTTGCATTTTCACATATAACCTGCTACAAAAGAATTTGTAGTAATAGTCTTACTCTAGAGTCTCAATTTAACTACTCAAAACATTGTACAAAAATTACAATCAAGATTGTGTCCCCCAAAATTTAGTTCTGGATATGCCATTAATTTGCTGTGTGAATTAGCCAGTGTCTTTGTTTTCTCATCTGTAAATTTACAGGGCTGGACAAAGTGCTAGACCAATTTCTCTAATTTTCCACTATGATTCTGTAACTATTGATTATGGAGCTACGTAGGTAATACAAAGACTCGAAGTTGGCATTTAGTTATAAATTTTAAGTTCCAAACAGCATGTAACTGCTGTATTCTATAACTTTTCAGTATAAAATCTTAAGGGGAATTTACTGAAAGAAAAATCATTATTTTATCTCAGTGGGTATAATAAAAATACCTATATTTGTGTTGCATTTTGTTTATTAAAGCACTGTAAGAATTACACTTAATCCTCACAATCATCCTAGAGGAAAAAGGGGGTGAAGTTTTCATCTTCATTTTACAGATATGTGTGGTTCTTTCTCCAACATCCAAAGGTCACAAAACAGGTTCATTCTTCAGAAAAACATAGCCTTCCTTCAATAAATCCTTCTTTTAAGTCCCTGTGCCCCAACCTCAATTGTTGATTCTCACACCATTCCTGTCCTTCACTTACATATTCACCAGCCTAATTTATGATTTAGTCTTTCATTTTTACCTTCTACATTGCTCTGAATTAATTCCATCTGTAAAATATCCTTTCTTCCCTTTTCCCAACTTCTATAATTTTTTTTTTCATAAAATTTCCCTCTCAGAATTGTTTTCTTTGCCTCACTCCTGCTACATCACCTTACATACGAAGGTTCCTAAGAGACTGTCATTATCACATCAAATTCCCATTTCAATTTTCACTCCCTAGAATACTAATCTTAATTATATTAATTTCCTACATCACTGAGCCCTTCTGCAATTTCTTTCGAAATTCTAATGGATTTTTTCTTTTTCTTTTTTTTTAAGTTTTCTTTTAAATTTTGTGATACTGGGGATTCAACTTAGGGGCACTTAATCATTAAGCTACACTCCAAGTTCTTTTTATTTTTTATGATTTTTTTCTTTTTTGATTTTACTTTAATGTTTTACTTTGGTTTTATCTTTTACTTTACCTAAGTTGCTGAGACTAGCATGGAACTTGCAGTCTTCCTGCCTCAGCCTCAATCACTGAGATTAGAAGTTTGCACTGCGGTGCCAACTTCTCTAATTGTCTTTTCATTGCTTGACCATTTTTCTGTACTTTATTGAAAATTTTTCTTTAAAAAATTCTTCCCAATTACCACAGTGAACTGGGGACCATAATTACAGTTCAGACTGTGGCATAAAAAACAGCACACATTCCATCAAGATCACATCAAACCCTTTCATTCAAAAGAATCCAATGCACAAGTGTCAAATATAAACACTGTCTTTTTGTTATTTATTAGAAGGGGAGAAAATATTCATTTATTTTGGCAGTACTTTTACAGTTTCAGGAAATGGCTTTGATGTCACAAATTACAGGAATAGGATAACAAACTTGGAGGGCATTTCTTTTTTTTTTTCCCCCCCCCCCCCCCCCGTTACTGGGGATTGAATTCAGCAGTGCTTTAACACTGAGCCGTATCCCCACAGTCATTTTTATATTTTTATTTTGAGATAGGGTCTCAGTAAGTTGCTTAGGGCCTCTCTAAGTTGCTGAAGCTGGTTTTGAACTTGAATCCTCCTGACTCCTCAGACCCCCCCCCCCCTTAGCCTCCTTCAGGCATGTGCCACTTGCCCAGCTAAAGGGCATTTCTTTGAGAGGCACAGGACTCTGTGGTTGAAAAAAAATTCTTCTTGTGCTGGCCACTGAGTCTTCCTGGGTGTTTAAAGATAAAATGGAATTTCCTACACAGACATTGTTAAGCACTCTTGTAGAGCAGAGTGTTTCCTGTATCTCCAACCCTCCACTCATGTCAAAGAGAATCTCTCACTTTTCTGGAGCTTCTTGTGGTCATATGACCTTCTTTTAGGCCACCCTTTGGCCAAAATGCACTTGCACTTGGCGCCAAGTTCCCTCTTACACTGCTTCTCTAGAGTTCAGATGACAGCACAAAACATGACTTGTCCAAAAATAACAGATATTAAGAACATGAGCATTTATTTATGTTCATGAAAATAGCAAACACTTTGTAGGATATCTCACTCAATGGGGCATTATTTTGGCTTAATACGGCCCTCTGGGGAGTTAGCGCAGGTTCATACACTTGAGAGACTTTTTCAAAGGATTGGTTAAAGTAAGTTGTTTTGACAAGTAGGAATTGTCTCATGCCAATTAAAAAATTCATCGTCCAACAATTCAATGGTTCATAAAGCAATTAAATATTACCATTCTGTTCACACACGCACACACAAGAACCACAGCAAAATGATTTACCAGATTAGTTTTGTGACTATGTTCTAAAAGGACAATGAAATTTCAAATTTGAAGTGTCATATTCAAGTATTTAAAAATGTAAAAAATGGTTTGATTACCCTTGATTTTAAGATTATAAGAATCATAGTCATGTAGCCAGGGCTTCTGGAGTCAGTGAGGTTAACTCCTAGGACACAAAATATTCTACAAAAATTAATTTGTCATTTCTCAAAGTACAGCTATTTGTTTATTATTTTTTTAAAAAATACATGGAGACCTTGTATACTGTGGCATCCCAAAATATAAGTGAGAGTGATATCGGCCGACCTTTCTGTCTGACACTGGTGGGAAATGGTTTTACACATTTTTCTGTCAATTCAAAGAGGAGGCAGAAGGAATCTAATGTTTTTTCTAAGGACAATTTTTATGAGGAAAGGAGCATTTAAAGTTGTCATCTCATTCTCTGCCAATGTTACTTGGGTTAATACCACAGGTTCCATAGCCAAGAAACTACAACAATATGTGCCCCCAGCTCCACAGCTGAGCAGCACTATTTACTCTGTGATTTCTTAAAGTTACAATTCCTTGCCTATACAATGCAGGTGATAAAATCTACTTTGCTGTTTTATAAAGTGCTGGGGTCCAGCAGGGGGTTGCGGGGGGAGTGGGGATTCCAGGGGTCCTTAAGGAGGAGTGGCGTCAACAAAAGAAGAAGAGTTGAGATCACAGGTTGCAAGTTACAAGCAGCCTCCAGAAGAAATCTTGCTTCCCCTAGAGGGACCTTTATTTTTATACCTTTTTTACAGGTGTTTTTTCAGGTAGTTAATGGATACCTTCAAAGCCCGAAACTTCTTTGATTTATATAATTTCCAAGAGTTACAACCTTTTCTGAGATACATTGATTACCTAAGATATTGAGTACATTGTTCAAAATATTTTTCTGTAACCTTAATCAATCATGATTAAGCTTTTATGTTTTCATGTCAAACACTAGGTGCTAGGCGACGCAATTATACTACATGTCTCCTGACCTATTATTCACTTCTAACTTTAAAGCACACCTATAATTATTTCATTAACCTTTAACTTTAAAGCATACTTATAATTAATGGTAAGCTTTCTTACTTCTAAACTAAAATCCCATTAAAACACACTTAAAGTAGTGAAAGTCTCTTATTTAAAAGCCTACTACCCTGAAGTGCCTCTAAAATATATCTATGTTAATTTTACATTATTTTATTTTTAATTTCCAAGGTAATTTCTTTTTTTCATAGGACCAATTTAACTGCTTACTTACAGCGTTTCCTTGATCCTTGGACAAAGCACACCAATTCTTATGTCTTTGTAATCTTTAACTAAAGGGCAGGCTTTACACCTCAACCCATTTGTCATTTATATTAACCATTTTCATTATAAATTTCTGTGTAAGGCAAAGGAGGATCTGTTGGTGGGAGGAATGTATTTTTATTAGCCTCTTGTCCTTGATGGGGATACCATAAGCTACAAATAGTGGTCCTTGTACTGTTGGCACAGAAATTGTTTTTCTATAGCTAGGCTGTTGTATAGGTTGTGGCTTCAGGACGGGGTTGGGGGGTTAGTATAAATTGTTAACCATGGGATAAATATTTCTTGTTTTTAGGCTTGAGGAATAAGATTATTGTTTGTATCCTGAGAGAGATTGAAACACACCTCATGGCATATCTCAATTATATCCTTAGTCTCATTCTGGGAATTTTCCTGCAATCTCAGGCAATATGTACTTTTATTACTGATTGACGTATGCCCTGTTATTCATATCATGAGTATCATAAACAAAACACTTAACATTCCCAGTGGTTCCGGTTTCCAGATGGATTGGCCCTGCCACAGAATCCCCTACTCTGTGACCCTGTCAGACAGTGAGTACAGGAAGGCCTTCACCAATGAAGCACACTGAAGAAAATAATGGTGCTTGGAATATAGTCAGGAGGCAATAAATGTTGGCTCTTAGTACTTCCAATTATCAAAGAAAATGGAGAGTAACAACATGGTCTACTAAGACCATAGCACCCCATAGGAATAGGGTGTAAATATAGTTTTCGGGTGTCAAGTGTGGTAGTAAGCAAATTTTTGTCTCCTGAGAGTCCTGGCTGGGTATATTCTGATATCAAACAAAAGTATAATGTCAGAGCATCAGCATCGTTAGTACAAAATTTGAAACAAAGTAGAGTGAGTATACAATCAAACGATGATTATAAAAATGACCCTGAATGGTGAAATAACTGCAGGAATATCCATAGTAAAACAATCTAAAATTCTGACTTTATCTGATCACAAAACTGGTTAGTTTTTTGAACTTCACCAATTTCCCAAAGGTCAAGATCCAGTTCACTTTTTACCATACTACAATGTTTTAATCATTTTTCTTTTTCTCACACCAAAGCTTTCCCAGAAATATGGCTCCATTTACAGCATCCAAATGGGGCCCAAGAAGGTGGTGGTCCTCTCTGGCTATGAGACAGTGAAAGAGGCTCTCGTTGGTTATGGTAATCAATTTGGGGAACGATCTCAAGTGCCTATATTTGAAAGAATTTTTAATGGAAAAGGTAATGAACTCTAAATTTAAGATATATTCCTGTGGTTAAAATTATTAAATCAGTTGTCCTCTATTTTCTTACATAATTCCTTCCATTGTTTGATTTTGCTTCATCAATATATATTACACAAATAGGATTCTAATGAAAAAAAATAGTAATTTGTGGGCTTCATTCTTATTTTACATGATAACTACTTCTGTTAAATAATTACCTACTAAATGAAAAGTCTGATGTTAGATGTCAGGAAAATAAAACAAAAAGGAAGCAGAGGCCATCAATATAAAGAGATCATTAATGGTCTAATGCAGAAATAGATCCTGAAACAACATACTTAGTGTTATAAATATACAGAGCCCTATTTTTACCTGGATAAAATTGTTGCATCATTCTTGTGTCTTTGCTAAATGCCCTGATGCAACATAGATACTCTGCTTTTGTGGCTTTCCACTAATTAATAGCTATTATTACTATTATTACTGTTTTGGTACTAGAGATTGAACCCAGGGGTACTTTACCACTGGGCTACATCCCCAGTCCTTTTTATATTTTTTGAGATAGGGCCTTGTTTAGTTGACAGAGCTGGCCTCGAACTTGCAATGCTCCTGCCTCAGCCTCCTGAGTTGCTGGGACTACAGGTGTGGTCCACCGTGCCTGGCTACTAATTAATAACTCTTTAAAAATGGAAATAATTTCACTTTGACATTATTTATAGTAAACTCATATTGTCTCCTAATAAATACCACTAGGTTATTTTATTGCTTCAAAAACATTTCTAAAAAGTGTTTTCTGTAATATTGTTCACAAAACAGTAGTTTTGCAAGGTGTAAGTGGATGTTCCCTGAGGTAAATTGGTCTCTCACGTGTCCATTAGCATATTAAAACCTCAGGAAACATCAAAATCCTATTTAACTTTATTCAATTTTCCACACATAGTAGTCTTGGAACATTTCTTTCCCTTCTAATCCCCACTAACACTTCATGAAATCAGCATTGAGGAGGTATTTTCCATTCAAGATCCCATGTCTGGAATTTCCAGGAGTCATCTGAGTCATCATCATAATTTTTTTTTTTTTTTTTTTTAGAAAATTGGTACAATTTCTTACTTCTTGCAGCTAATCTTTTTCCACAAGAGCTCAAATTTGCTGATGAATGTAATGATCACACAGGAATTTTTTTTTTTTTTTTTTGTACCAGGGATTGAACCCAGGGGTGATTAACCAGTGAGCCACATTCCCAGCCCATTTTAATGATTTATTAGAGATAGAGTCACACTGAATTGCTTAGGGACTCCCGAAATTGCTGAGGCTGGCTTTGAACTTGCTATCCTCCTGCCTCAGCCTCCCAAATTGATGGGATTATAGGCATGTGCCACCATGCTCGACTTAACTTTTATCTCTCGCAATCTAACAAGTGAGCCAAGAATTCATTTTAAGAATTTTTTTTTTGAGGGACACACTGCCACAGAGCTACATCCCCAGCCCCATTCTTATTTTTTAATTTTGAGGCAGGGTCTTGCTAAATAGCCTAGCTTGGGCTCAAACTTTAAATTCTCCTGCCTCAGGTTCCTGAGTTGCTGGAGGTACAAGCATGTGATATCATGCCCAGCCAAAAATCAGTTTGTTTGTTTTTTTAAGTGTCTTAACTGGTCATAGAAAATCAAAAGATAATGACTATATTTCCTCTTCCTGTGTCTCGCAATCTAAAATCACTCAAATGAGTATAAGCATGTTATAGACCAATTTTGCATAACCAAAAGATAATTTTATGTTTGATACCCATTAGACCATTTGGGGATATTTATTACATCAACTTGTTGTATAATTTAAATATATTTAGGGCCAGAGTGTCCTATACTTAAAATTTATATTTATATATTTAATAGCACTTCAATCTTTCATGGTCCTAAACTAATGTGCTAAGGGGCTGAGAAACATAACTTTGTGGTAGAGTGCTTGCATAGCATGTGATAGGCCCTGGTTTTGATCCCCAGTACAGCAACATAACAACAACAATAATAATAATGATATTATTTACAATTACACAAATATTTTATTCTCTGAAATATACTGACTTCTGTGAGTCCTTAAGGGTCAAATACTGTATTCTGAAATGTGAAATGTAAAATTTCAAATATAAAATGGGATAGTCTGAAGAGTCACATATTTTATGAATGAGTTTTATGTAATACAGGAACCACAGGCAGAATATCATTGTATTAATCTGAGGATTTAGTGAGAAGAGAATCTAATCCTTCACTAGTATCCTTCCAAAGGAAGACCTAACATGAAAGGAGGAGGCAACAGTAACTCTGAACATATCTATTCTTTATTTTAGATTTCATGTTAAGACTAGCAAGGCTGATACTGCCCCATCTTCAATGCCCAGGCTGCCTTAGTATATTCTAGGTTTGTATTTATGATTATCAATTAAACATAGAAATTCCCCCAGTCTCTTTTGCCTTTATATAATATGAGGAAAAATGCAAATGGAGGAAGGTTTGGGTGTAAAGAATTGAAACAGAATGAAAAATACCACTATCACCAAAAAGCACCACTGGAAAGATGTGGGCAACCTTAGAAATCATCTTTTTCCTGATTTTTCTATGAAGTATGAGCATATGCTCTAAATCCTTTAGAAAACGTTTCTTGACTGATCATTATTATTTTGTGTAGTTATATACAAATTTGCTTATCCAATCAATAAATTTATTGATAATTTATGTGTTAAAATATGTGTCTCTATAATTACTAGGTATAACACTTAATTACTTGATTACTATATAATCAAGTGGAAACTTGATTACAGTCATTGGTGATTATTTATTTCTAAATTTTTACTTGGGTGGTGTTGTATGTACTAGACTCTATTACTCCCTGGCAAAGAAAAAAAGGGGAAAAACTTTATTTACGATTATTCATCAACTCCTTAACCACATCCAGCGTGATATAAGTATAAACTAGTTACTCAATTTATTTGAGTAATTGCCTATTTAATATGTTGAGGAAATATAATTTTAAACAAAACAAAATGTTTTCCCAATCTAGAAATCCTTTCCATGAAGCTGAGGAAAAGAAAACACTTTTATTATTGAACAAGCATTAAACCGGAATAATGTGTATCACAATCTGGTAAGAAACTACAAAAATAGAAAGGAACTTCAGCCTTTTGCATAGTCCAGCAGAAGGAACTTCATTACATACCCATTCTCAGGATAAACAATAACTAGTCCTCAAGAAAGCAGACTTAACAGCATTATTTGTTGCACATAGTTTATCCTTGATTCACCTGGTAATTCAAGTGGCCATCTGTATTAATTGAGTTTCAAAGGAAAAAAAATAATTTCCCAAATATTTATGACAGTTTTGCAATGTGGAGCAAGTGCCCCCTGAAATTAGACTCCTATCTTCACCCAGAAACTGAGTGATAGGACATAATCTCCCCTGAGGTTTACATTTCAAAGAGTTGACTCCTGGGTTCTTACATTCCTGGGTCTCAAGGCTGACAAATGGCCTATCTAGCTTTCAAAAAGACTTTATGTACAGAGAAAGTAGTTAAAAGGTTTATACAGTAAATACTCTAAGAAAAAAAGAGGGAATTAGACATTTCTCCTCCCACCACCCTGCCCTCTCTTCTTTTCTATTCTCCTCTCTTTACATGCTAGGGACTTAACTCAAGACCTGGCTTATCTTAGGCAAGCATTCTACTAGTGAGCTATATCCTACATCCATTTTTCCATTATTTTTGACAGGAATAATTAAGACTTTTATTTTGAATTTTTATTTGTCTTCAAGATTTCAATTTTAAGCCAGATATGGTAATATATGCCTGTAATCCCAGCAGCTCTGGAGGCTGATGCAGGAGGATCAGAAGCTCAAAGCCAGCCTCAGCAACTTAGAGAGGTCCCAACCAACTCAGTGAGACACTGTCTGTAAATAAAATATAAAACAAAAAGGGCTGAGAATGTGGATCAGTGGTTAAAATGCCCCTGGGTTCAACCCTGGTGCCCCACCCACCGAAAAAAAGTAAATTAAAAAACTTTAATCTGAAGACATTTTTTTTTTTTCATTATAAGGAATTGCCTTCTCTCATGGTGAAACCTGGAAAATCATGAGAAGATTCAGCTTGACCACCTTACGGAATTTTGGAATGGGCAAGCAGATCATAGAAGATATAATTATAGAGGAATGCCAGCATCTCATACAGAACTTAGAGGCTCACAGAGGTATGTAGAACAAATGAAATCTCTTTGTTTTTAACGAGAAAGAAGTCAACAAAAGTTATCTTTTAATTTCTTATTTTTGACACAATTTCAGACTCTTAGAAAAATTAAAAGAATATACAAATCATTCCCAGTACCTTCAACTCTTCTTGAAGATTGTCAACATTGTACATTTGCTTGTGCCCTCTCGCTCTGTGTGCATGTATCTGCACATTATAATTTTAAATTTATTTATACATAAAATATAAAATTATATTTTTTCTTGACTGAGAGTTTTTGCAGACATGCTGTCCCTTCATTTTTAAATTTTCAACCGTAACACTGTCTTAACCACAGTAAACATCAAAAATCGTGAAATTTACATGATGTGATAGTATCATCTAATCTTCAGACTTCAGAAAGATTTTGTCATTATCCCAGCAATGTCCTTTATAGCCAAGGAAAATCCTCGATCAGGAATTGCATTGAGATGTCATGTTTCTTCTGCCTCCTTTAATCCAGAACAGCTTCTCAGTAATGAAGTTGTTTCTGATCGCTTCACATAATAAATTAGAATTGATTTCACATAATTTTTGTAAATATGTGGGAAGAATAATCAAAAAAATCTCATTTTTGTGTCAAGAGTTTTCCTCATTTCCTTATTAAAATGAACTCATTCCTTACTAAAAGGAGAAAGTTGGTATTATTTGACTGATGTAAGAACTTATGAAAAAAATGATCAAAGGTAGATAACAGAGGGCTCAAGGACCCATGTGCTAAATTAGCAGTACTTGTCAGAGAGTACTATCTTAGCAGTTTGGGGAAATTATGCATACAAAAGCGACTATTGATTCCCCAGTGTTAAGCTCCTAAAACACACTAACTACCCTGAGTTTTGTGTATACATCCTCCAAGTGTGTTTATTTTGTGTGGAAGAAGAAAAGGTATTCTCTTTTTAGGGCTCAGAAAACAACATCACAAAGTGACGATCTCAGAAACAAGGTTTTTCTCTGAACTGTCCTCCTGTCTCCTGCTCCCTTTTCTGCTTCTGTCTGAAGGCAAGTCATAGAAACTAGAATTTCTCTTCCTTTAATAATTTGTTTTGCTCAAGCAAACCATAAAACCTAGTAATGATATTCTAACCTTTCCCCACCTTTCTGTCATAGAACTGGTCAGCTATAAATAAATTCTCTGACCTACTCTGTCCCATACTAGTTCCTAAGGTCCTCACTTCTGAAGGGGCTCTACCCACTACCCAGAAGAAGGAATGAGCCACAGAGGGGTCAAGATGAATCTGAACTGATGTTTTCCCAAAATCTATTAGCAATAGATCATACAGTTTTTTACCCAATCATATTCTTATATAATGGTCCACACCTAATTAGACTGAAGCATAAAAATGAATTGTTCACACCATGTCTCTGGGTCTTCAACCTGAAGGCTACGGTGTCATATGAAGCTATGATCAAACATAGTTATGAAGTTCTTGTTACCTTGTCTCCTGGTTTAGGTGTGTCAGCCATGCTGTTTAATGTAAACGAAAAAGGGCCCATTCACTCCCCTTTCCACCTTCCCATTTCTCAAGTAAAGGAAAAGACATTTTCATTTGGATTCCCTAGGCTTTCAGTCTCTGCATTAAATATAGTAGCTGACTTAAGAGTAAAACTTTAGAACTAGAATTCTCTTCAGCCCAAAATAAATGCCCATCTATTGGTGAATGTTTAATAACTAAACTACTTTCAACGATGCAGAGAAAACCAGGATGCAGCAGCAGAAGGGAGGGAAACAAGGAACCGCCCCCATGAAGTTCTTTTTTTTTTTTTTTTTTTTTGGTGTCAGAGATTGAACCTAGGAGTGCTTAACCACTGAGGCACATCCCCAATTCATTTTGTGCTTTATTTAAAGAAAAGGTCTCACCTTACTTTTTTGCTGAGACTGGCTTTGAACTTGCAATCAATTTCGTGTCTCAGCCTCCCAAGACTCACCTAGATGTTCTTTCTCTCCTTTTTTTTTTTGCACTGCAGATTGAACCCAGGGGCACTTTGCCACTGAGCTACATTCCTAGCCCTTTTTAATTTATATTTTGAGACAAGGTCTCCCCACGTTGCTTCAGGTCCTTGCTAAATTGCTAAGTTTGACCTCAAATTTCTAGTTGCTGAAATTAGAGGTGTGTACCACCCCAACATGGCTAGATGTTCTATTTTTAACTTGAATGCAGCCTTAGGTTGAATGATTTTTTTCCCTAGATAGACTGCATTAACACACACCCCACAGTACACACCCACAGAGACAGACAAATATTTAAACATACCTGGCATATTTTTCTTTCTTCAATTGAGCCAAATGCAAATTTTCTTTTACATATAGTTTTCTAGGTAGCCACTGTTTAGACAAATTCTGGGCATTTGTTAAAGCTCATTCAAGTCTTATTGGAAGACTTGGAAGTTATGGTCACCAATAATCTCTATGATGTTTTTTCCTTCATTGACTGTCCCAATCAGTGAGGAACTTGCCTAACACTGGTTTTGTGAATATTCCTAATCTGATTAATGAATTGTCTTGTAGGAAATCCATTTGAGATCACAACATTAATGAACGCTTCTGTTGCTAACATCATTGTCTCAGTGTTGTTTGGAAAACGGTTTGAATACCAAGACCCCCAGTTCCTGAGACTCTTAACCTTGATTGGTGAAAATGTGAAACTTGCTGGAAGTCCTAGAATTGTGGTAACTGTATCTTTCCCATTCACTTTTAGTTCCTCTGAGAAATATTTGATTGACCATGAAAAGAATTCATTAGAGAAGTGTTATTTCAAAAGTAGATATTTTCTGAAATGTTCTGAGTACAGTGATATGACAAATTTGTTTGTTTATACATATGATAATTCTCCTATCACCAAATGCTGCATGAAATACCTTGATGCAGGAATTGTTAATTCGGCCAGTATTGCATGCTTTCTTCTAATTTTAGCCACTTTTATTTTACGTATAGCAGTACTTATATGTGAAAAATGAAATAAGCATTGAGTAAATAAACAGTCAGTTATGCTCAATTTGAAGAATAAATTTTAACAAAGGAGAACTACCAACTAGCCCCCTCAAAAAAAAAAAAAACCACAAAAGGCAGAATATAATCTTTTTTTAGCAATACCTTTAATTTTATTTATTTATTTTTATGCCGTGATGAGGATTGAACCCAGGACCTCACATGTGCTAGATGAGCACTCTACCACTGAGCCACAATCCCAGCCCCCAGAATATAATCTTAATACTTATTCTAATCCATACAAATTCACAATAGTGCCACAATCTAATTTCTTATCATTGTGAGTGACAAAGCCTCTACATTCTAGGATCCAGGGGGGAAAGAGGCTTGTCCAAAAGTTATCATTTTGCGGGCTGGGGTGTGGCTCAAGAGGTAATGCACTCGCCTGGCATGCGCGGGGTGCTGGGTTCAATCCTCAGCACCACATAAAAAATAAAATAAAGATGTTGTGTCCACCGAAAACTAAAAAATAAATATTAAAAAATTCTCTCTCACTCTCTCTTTAAAAAAAAAATGTTATCATTTTGAATAACACCACTGACAACCCTATTATTTCACTCTAAAATTTAGGCTGTGTTATTATATACCCAGATTTACTTCAAATACAGATTTTTAGAACAAGCAACTGTTCTAATTTTAGATGGGACCTTTTGTCTCTTATATAAGGAAAGTTTTTTGTGGGGACTCATAAACCCCTTTGAGAATATGACAAAGTATATAGACCTTATATCCACCAAAATTAACATACTGACAAACATAAAACTTAGCAAACAGTGAAGTCCTTTCTGAATTTTTTAAGAGTTAGTGGATAACAGATTAAATGGTGCTACTCTGTAAGACCTACAGACATTAAATCTGCTATAAACGTAAAAATTATTGTGATCCCACAGAGAAGCTTTACTGCCTTATGTAGAGCTAAAAGAGTTTGATTGTTTTCCTGGAATTACATGGGATTTTTTGAGAAAAACACTTGGGTTTATATCTCTGACCAAAAAGCCAATAGCGTTTTTATGTCCCACCCAACCTCTAACTAGACCTACTCCCATAGGAATGATATACCAATACTCTGGGCACAGAGACTTGTAAGCTATATTGATATTCATTATAAATTACTTAGTTCTGATAAATGTGGAAATTTCATTTTATAGTTCAGTCTGTCACTGTTGGTTGAGACAAAATTCAAGGTGTTATTTCTATAATGTTTTCAAAAATAATGTTGCCATTTGCATTACCACAACCAATTCATAGGTATATTTAATTTACTTTTTTAAAAATTCTTCTAGCTTTTTAATATGTTTCCTGTTTTGGGATTTCTCCTAAGAAGTCATAAGACAGTACTCAAGAATAGAGATGAATTATTTTCTTTTATAAGGAAGACCTTCCTCCATCATCGTCGTAAATTCGACAAAAATGATCCAAGAAGTTTCATTGATGCTTTTTTGGTCAGACAGCAAGAGGTAATGATGTTTTCTTCAGAGGCTTCCTTACCTTTTTATTTATTATTTAGTTTAATTAATAGCTTCTGGAGGAGAAACACTCCATCCAAAGAAGAAAGATAAAAGTTTAATAATGGTAAACTTATATTCTCAGAATAATGCCATTTATTCCATTTTACAATCTTGAATACTTTCTGACACTTTTATATCATTCTCTGAAGAAAAGAAAGACATATATTTCTTACATGTTAGTTTTTGGAATTGTCATTCTTCCTCCCCCCCACCACACCACCCCATGATCTTGAGAAATGTGTTTTAATTGCCAAACCCAAGAATTTTTGAGTGCGGTGGCGGGGGGTGGGTAATTACTGGAGATTTAACCCAGTGGCACTCTGTCATTGAGTTATATCCCCAGTCCTTTATTTTTGAAACAGGGTCACCCTAAGTTGCTGAGTGTTTTACTGAATTGCTGAAGCTGGCCTCAAACTTGCAATCCTCCTGCCTCAGCCTCCTGAGTTGCTGAGATTATGGGTGTGAGCCACCACATTGACTAAGAAAGATGATTTTATTTAAAAATTTCTTAAAAGAAACAGCTCTGGAAATAGTCCAATCACTCAATAAAGAACTATCTGCAACTTTCCTACAATGGCAAACACTCTTTCTCATTTTTAGAATTATTTACCATTATCAACATCTGTGATATATGTACTTTGTCTCCTAAAATTCTCTACATTTGTATAAAGAAAATTCCTCTAAATTGAAGGAAGAAAGCAATGCATTGTTTTTATGAATTCATAGTTGGTAATTTGTTATAATCACCCATTACAAAATTATTTCATTGCTAATGATTCCTTTTACACTTTTAGGAGAAAGATGCATCTGCTGATTATTTCAGTGATGAAAATTTGGTGGCACTTGTTAGTAATCTGTTTGCAGCAGGTACAGAGACCACAGTCTCCACACTGCGCTGGGGAATTCTGCTCATGATGCGATACCCTGAGGTTCAGAGTAAGTTTTCAAGACTAAGCATCACCTGAAAAAGAGAAAACAAAATTGTCTTGGACAGGACAATGCAGAATTCTATAGCCATGCTGGATACATGTAATTTGTCCCCTTGAGGCTAGTTTGTATTTTCAGATTCCTTTCAGTATGAGGAAGTTGGTTTTGCTTATTAAGCATCCTAAGATGATCTAAAGACCCTATGATATAAAATTTTCAGAGGATCCCCAGGAATAGAGACTGAGGAGGTGGGGAGAAATGCAGGAAAAAGAGCCAAGACTGGGAAAACACTTGGGTTTGACTTTCACAAGTAAAGAAAATAAGGAAGAGTGTTTCAACACCCATGCCCAGCCCAGACATTAATCACTGTAATTTCATTTTATCCAGAAAAGGTCTGTGATGAGATCACCAAAGTTGTGGGATTGGCCCAGCCCCGCATTGCACACCGTACTCAAATGCCGTACACAGATGCTGTCATTCATGAAGTACAGCGATTTGCTAACATTCTGCCCACAAGCTTACCCCATGCGACAACCACAAATGTTACATTTAAAAATTACTATATCCCGAAGGTAAGGGCTCGAGAAAGGAAGGTGAAGGGAGAGAGGTGTCAGATGATTGCAACCACAAATGCGCTGAGATAAACTGGCAAAGACAATCCTAGCATGCCTTTCCTGCCTCCCTCACTCCTTGGTGTCTTTTCTTCCCCTTTCCATCTGGCTCTGCCTCCTTCCTTTGTCATCATTCAACAAAATGGGTCTATGCATGTATGTGTAATAATATAGATGACAATTATCCTCTGAAACTTCATAAGATATTTTAGGTTATAATTGAGAAAAACAGGGCTCAGAGAAGTTAAGCCGTTTCAGGAATGACAGGTTTGTCTGCAAGGCAGCCAGAATTCCAAGTAAGCCATAACCTTCAGAGCCCTGTGCTTCTGCCATGCAGGCCTCTCTCCAGCAGCACCTCCATGCTTCACTTCTGTCCTCACACAGAACCATGCATATATGCCCTCTGCTTCCCAATGTGAAAACATCTAGATGTAACCCTCTAATTTCCATGGTAAGCTGGGGAAATATGTATATTCACGTAGCTCTTTTCCTTGATATCTAGTCTGTTCACTGCTTCTGGGCCCATTTCTACATGAATCCACAGAGTCATTGGGTATGTGAACCCTGACCACATTATTATCATTTCCTATCCTTCAATCACCTGTGAACCAGGAGACATGTTCATCTGTGGAGCTTCACTTCTTGGCACAGATTAAAAACAGTGTAGGTCTGAATTAACCAGATTAGCAATGAAATAGAAAACCAAACACAATGTGGTGTCAGCTCCTTTTACCTCACTAAAGTCACTGAGACAACAAACTAAATTATAAGGTAAATGGTTTATCTTTTGGCAGTTCAAGTCCAAGATCAGTCAGTCCCATTGGTTTGCACCTCTGGTACTGAAAGCAGTGCTTATTGGAGCAAGCAATTACACCTCAAGCCAGAAATAGAGAAAGACCAGGGTCCCCCAAATCCTCTTTGAGGGAATGTCCCCAGAGACCTAACAACCTCTCTCTAGGCTCCACTTCCTAGATGTTCCACCACTTCACCATAGCACCACCTTGGGGACCGAGCACTGAAGGTGAACATTTGGGAGATATTACCCACATTCAAACCACAGCAAATGTTTTTTTTTTAAAAAAAAGTTAACATGACCCAAAATATGAACAAAAAATTATAACCAGTGAGTGACCCTGTTGATTCATGTAGAGATGTATCCAGAAGCAGTGAACAGATTAAGTATCAAGGAAAAGAACTAGGGCTATGTGTGTGTGTGTGTATGTGTGTGTGTGTGTGTGTGTGTGTGTGTATATATATATATATATATATATATATATATATATATATATATTTCCTCAGCTTACTAGTGGAAGTCAGGGATACATATAGATGTCTGCACATCGGGAAACAGAGGCCATGTTTATGTTTCAGTTAATAGAGATGGGAACTTATTAACTTATTTCTTATTTATTTGCTGCAAGCCAAGGTAGATGGCTAGAAATAAAATATTGTATTAAATATTGTATTTAAGCCAGGCACCTTGGTGCATGCCTGTAATCCCAGTGACTTTGGAGACTGAGACAGGAGAATCGTGACTTCAAAGCCAGCCTCAGAAACTGCGAGGCACTAAGAAACTCAGTGAGACACTGTCTCTTAATAAAATACAAAATAGGGCTGAGGATGTGGCTCAGTGGTTGAGTACCCCTGAGTTCAATCCCCAGTACAAATATATATATATATATAATTGAATATAAATATATATATTCAATATAAATTGAATATAAATATATATATTTTATCCCCAGTATAATATATTATATATATATATATAAAATATATTGTATTTTAAAAGGTTTTGCAGTTATATAGAGATCTCAGTGATAAAATATTGTATTTAAAAGGGTTTTGAAGTTATACAGTGACCTATCATGCCATCAGGTGTTAGGTCACTTAGTCTCAACAAGTCTCAATCATCTCTTTGGTGAAATGGAAATAACACAGCCATTATAGGAAGAGAAAGTCAGTGTACAATGCCCAAGTATATCTAATCATACATGAATGCATGGATAGATGAATGGATGAATGGATGGATGGATGAATAAGATGAGGAGGAAAAATTATAAACAAAAATATTTTAAAGAAATTGTTAGCTGTTTGTGATTCAAATATACAGATATCACATGATAAAACAGCTAATTAGAAGAAGATAAGTAGGTATTACACAGCAGAAGACAGTAAATAGGTATTACAAAGCCTTTGATATAGCTGGCAAGATGAAGTAGTGATTAGTATCCATAACTTGGGGGAAGACTTGGGGGCAGGGTCGGGAGAGGAGCTGAGCCCAGGGTCTTATGTAACAGGCAAACATTGTACCACTGAGCTACATCACCAGACCAGGGTTTTGTTTTTATCATTATTTCACTTTATTTATTTTAGTTCTCAGATTATCCTTTCCTGTGTCACAATTAAAATTGCTTCCTTTTTTTCGTAGGAAGTTGTTTTACAGCATGTGCCAAGCTATGGAAGCCAGAAAGCTCAATTTTGAGAATCTGTTTTGATGGGCTTGTTTGATTTAGCATCCACTCTCATAGTCCCTGAGGATAAGAGAGCAAACCATCACTGAGACCCCAAACCTTCCAGGAACTCAGTTGTTTTTTTTTTTTTTTTTATATATGTATCCTTTCATCTAAGGTTCACAATCCTAAATGAGGACTGTATAATTCCCATCACACAGCGTGATCAAATAGCAACCACATGCTAAATAAGAGTTTCTTTCCAGTTCTCTTCCAAAGCTTTCATTTTTAGGGAGGTAGTGAATAAAATTTTGGTGAGTAAATAAACATTTCATATGGGCCCTGCCTGAAGCATCTCCAATTCTCCCTCTTCCATTTCCTTCCAGAGCACACTGCATCTGAGAAATTGCCAGCTGAGATCCTGATACACCTTTTGAGAGTCACTTTTCAGGAAGGAATTTAATTTCTTTCAATTAAAGCATTTTTATTTCTAGGGCACAGAGGTCATCACTTTGCTGACTTCAGTACTTCAGGATCCAACACAATGGGAAAAGCCACACACTTTTAATCCTGAGCATTTCCTCAACTCCAAGGGAAAGTTTGTCAAGAGAGAAGCATTCATGCCCTTTTCAGTGGGTAAGGCATCTTATTTAAAAATGGTAGTCTGAAATTTGCACTCCTTGTTTTAGGACTATGCTAAGGTTGCATGCTTTTCTATGTGGTAGTACATTCCAGAAACATGGAAGAGTGGAAACAATAGATATTCTGTCATTCCCTGACTTTAAATTAGCTGCAGGGTATTTAAGCATCAGAATGGTATTTTCTTAGGGAACCCTTGAAGATTCCTTGTGACTAGGACCAGGTATAACTTCTGGAGTTTGAGGAAAGAATTAAGCAGGGAAACAAGGGGCAACCCACTTCATTCCACCAGAAAAGCCTTGCATTAACAGGTAAATACCAGCATTTCTCTTTGGATTTCTTTGGGGTATGGGAGGGAGGAGATTTCCACTAGTGTAAATGTGTAATTTCCACTAGTGTAAATTCAAGGAACTCAGTGGAGTTACCCCCATAATTGTCTGGATTCCCAAAAGCCTGGAATTAATTCTTCTATGTTCCTAGCAGAGTTTTGGCAACACTGCATCATGAGTCCTTAGTGAATCCTGGTCTTTCTACTCATATAAATCATATCTTAGGTTCACCCCAGACACCATTCAGTAAGCCACAAGCAGCAGCCACCTCAGTACTAGGCTTTCTTCACCCACTGGAAAGTAAGTGGTGTGGAGATATGAAGCACAATCCATTTTCCTGATTTTTACACACACACACACACACACACACACACACACAATGATATAGGAGAAAATGTTGCATATAATGATGACAAATCAAAGGCAATAGCACATCTGGACCAAGAGTTAAAGGAAAGAAAAACATTTTACATATAGTTTGCAGTGTTATAAGCTCAATTTCTCTGAACACTTCCTTGTTTCTCTTTTCTTGAAACACATAAAACCATACCATCTTTTCACTTAGAGTTGTGGAGAGTTATGGAAAGATGAATGATGGTCTCTGGAGGTACTTTTAACTACATCTAATTCTAAACCTGATGTTACAAAGAAAATAGAAAAGGAATGATTGTATCACATATAAAAGTTATTTTCAGACTCTCTTATCAGCTCTTGAACTTACTGCTGTTGAAATTTAGAAAGAAGGAATTATATTCACCTCCACACCCTTCTTACACTGTGAAGAATGACTTACTCCTTCTCTTGAGCTACCATCAACATTGAATCAGGGCCTTCTCTAGATTCTCATGTACCTGAGGCTGGAGGCTGCTTTAGACTGTAAGACAAGAAGCTAGCAGTGAAGTTTTTTTGTAATATGGCCTATTCTAAAAGGATTTTTCCCAATTTACTTAAAGAATTAGCATTTATTTACTGCTTTAACCAAAAAAAAAAATCCAAAAGTAGCAATACTATTTATTTATTTTATTGTTACTGTTGATTAAACACAGAGGCGCTTTACTACTGAGTTATGTCCCCAGTCCTTTTTATTTTTGAAGACAGGATCTCACTAAATTGCTGAGACTGACCTGATCCTCCTGCAGCAGCCTTTCAAGTATCTGAGGTATTATAGGCGTTCACCACTGTATCTGACACAATATTATTTTTTATCATAAACAAATGGAAATATTCTTAAAATATGATCATCATCAAACAGTCACCATATGAAAAAAATAATATTATAAAACCACTTTTTTGCCTCCATTCAGATGGTAAGATCTCCCCAAAACCCAAATTCCTCTACTTATGTTGAAGTCACTCTCTTCTACCATTCATTTCTTACCAATTATTATGTACCTTAATAAGTTGTAAATCTTTTTCTCTGGAAGGTTTATTTAATTAGAATATGTTTAATTGCCTTCCAAGATGGCTCCCAGTTTTGTATATAGCACTTTTCTTGAAATACATAAAACCATACCATCTTTTCACCTATTTGTCTATATAAGCTATCATAAAACATGCTTTATTATGTTGGATAGCTAAGCTCTTATTAGGGAACTCAATAATGCTTAAACATGCGGTAAATCATTGACACCCTAAGTTGTTTTTAATCTTTCATTCAGTTAGCACCACTCATTCATGCATTCATTAGGAGCAGGTGGGAAGACCTAACCCAAGAATCTAGATTAGATGTTCTTTCCACAGGTTCCCCCATGCTTTATGATGCTGTTTTTTCATTACCTATTCACTTTCTGTATTTACCCACTACACAGAAAATCCCTTGAGAACAATAGTAGTGTCAGAGCAAGCTCAATAATTATATCTTATGATATGTTTGTGAGTTGGATGGTTAACTTTTACTTAATAGATGCAGAGAGATAATATTCATGGTCTTTCACCCTTGAAAAATCTTGGCTTGTTACCAGGCAAAGTTTGTCTGTAAAGCCTAAATCCCAGAGATCCCCTATAAACCAAAGCACTAATATGGGATATTTTCCTTTTGTGGTAAAATATCTACATTTTAATATTTTCCTGGAGCTTTGAAATCCTCTGTGATTCATAGGACTTGTGATTTATATTCAATTAAAAAAAGAAAAAATATAACTGAACAACCCTACAAAATTTTACGAGCCATAAAGTAAGCAGCAGGTGTAGGCTTTAGAGACCTTGAGAGTAGACATGAGGAGATCTACTTGGACCTTTTGAAGGATTGTAAACAGAAACTTTTAATAATGCTACATTTTAGTCAAATATACAGCTCTTGTTGTATAGGACAACCATAAAACTCATTAAACTTACACTGAACAAGATATACCATCCTCAACATATGTTATGAAATGTATATCATCATTAAAATCCCACTTATTCTCATAAAAACCTAACAAGAAAAATTTGTGTCCCAATTTTATTTCAGTTTTTAGACATTTTTTCCAAATAATTCAGGCTTTAGAATAATAGCAACCAAGTCTCTCTTCTTGAAATCATCAGCAGATTTCAAGATCATCAGCAGATTTCAAGATCATCACAATCAAGTCCCTACTCATACCTTTGGCATCAGAATCAAAATAAACTACCTCATACTCTGTTCTCTAGCCCAAGTCAATTTTTTTCCAGTCTTCAAAAGCATCAGATTCCCTTTCGTATCTTCCTCCATCTTTGTCTGGCTAACTTTGCTAAAGTTCTCATTCAAAGCATGAGCCCTCCTTGGTCCTCCAAGCCTCATTAGGTACCATTACAATGTGTTCCATGACACTATGACATTTGTGTTTGTCAGGTTTTCATGGCTGTGACCAAAATACCCAATAAGAAAAACTTGATGGAGGAAAGGTTTCTTCTGGCTCAGAGTTTAAGAGGTTCAGTCCATGGTCAGCCTACTCCATGGCTCTGGGCCCAAGATAAGGCAGAACATTATCGAAGAAAGGCAGGTCTGAGAAGCACTTCTGGGCTCATGGTGGCCAGGAAGCAGAGAGAGAAGGGAGTAAGGGGCCACAGGGAAGATTATCCCTTCCAAGGCATGCCCCCAGTGACCTACCTTCTTGAGCTATATCCCATCTTCCTACAGCCCAGTTAGTCCATTACCACCCAGTCAGTCCATTCAAACTAGCATGAACTGATTATGATTAGGTTATGGTTCTCTCAAGCCAATCATTTCAACTCCAAACATTCCTGCATTAACATAGGAGTTTGGTGGGGGGACACCTCATATCCAAACCCTTACAAAAATTTGCAGATCAAAATGTTAATGTTTAATAGCATTTTTTCTCTAAAGGAGCTTATAAGGTAAATCTGGCATTTGTACTTAACCTTGTATCTCCAGGGTTTAAACGAGGAGAGAGGGCTGATGAGGCTCAGAAGAGGTTAAATGACAGTTCTACACAGTTCTGTTCTTGTCTCTGTCTAGATTGTTTTTCAGATGTTTTTTTTCTGTCTTGTAACCCTCCAACATGTCCATCTCTCCAGGTAACCGGAAGTGTGTTGGTGAGTCGCTGGCCAGGATGGAGCTATTCCTTTTTTTCACCAGCCTCATGCAGAAGTTCACTTTCCAGCCGCCCCATGGAGTTTCCCATCTGGACCTGGATCTCACTCCGGATATTGGCTTCATGACAAGACCAATGCCTCATAAGATATGTGCTCTGCTCAGGGTCTAAGCTCTTTCAGCTTCAGTTAGTGTTATCTTGTGGTCATTAGCATGGACATCCCTTCCCTGCATTTTATCAGCCATGTTATTCTGCCAAACACTTAAGAATTACTTAAGCCATTTGCCACACCCTCACATAGGTTTATCTTGTCAGATCAGATTAAGATGCCTATGCTAATTGCTGAAGAAGAAACCTTCCTAATGCCATTGTTCAAGACAATAAATGAACAGAACATTTGACAAAAAACAACCTCCACTTAGTGCTCTTGGGTTTTTTCCTTTAAAGGTGACACTGACCTGATCCTCCAAGGCATAAGTGACTCTAGTTATTGCCTATCAAAAGTCAGAATTGGTGTTTGTGTGAAGGGGAATGTATAAAAATTTGACCCGGAAGACCCATAACTTTATCAAAACTGCTATGAAGAAAATTCAGTTCCACTGAGGATCACACTAAACATAAGGCTTGGTTTCATTCTGTAAATAAACAACAACAACAACAACAAAATAACAGAAGTTAGTAATGGATAATTGTACGAGTACAGACAGCTTGCTGCTCCTGGCATTACTGGAATGTGAAGAGGCCCCATTCATGTTCACTGTTCAGGTCCCAATGAATCATGGGCAAGAGGCCATGACTGCAGGAGAAGGAAAAGATTGTGGGTTCCCCTGAAACACAAGATATTTTTAACTTTTATAAAGTCTAGTGTACTTACCCATCAACAACACAAGTACGCATTCCCTGCTTCTATCTGATTTCTGTCAAATTAAAAATCATACTGGGAAGCAGGGCACAGTGCATACCTGCTAGGTCACTTAGGAAGCTGAGGCTGGAGAACCGAAAGTTTGAGGTCAATCTGGGCAATTTAGTGAAACCCACTCTTAAAATAAAAAGGGCTGAGCATGTAGCTCAGTGTCAAAGCTCCCCTGGGTTCAATTTCCAATACCAATAATTTTTTTTAATAAAAAAACCATACTGGGAAAGATAAACAATCAAAGATGACATTTTTAAAGGATATCATAATAGGCTAAAACTTAGCTAAGCTCTACTGAAGAGTTGAAAGACGATTTAGCAGTAGGGTCAGCAATGGAAAAGTACTAGAAGTTAAGAGGGAGTTTGATCAGTGGGATGTGTTCAGCACACAGAGCTATTCCTGATTTTACAAATATTTCTATGATCAGACCATCTTACATCTCAAAGGGAAAGAATTAATGAAAAATTTCTCAAAGACTCCAAGAACAGGGCCTAGTCAGCAGGAAAACTGCCTACAGTTGAGTAAGGTTGAGAGGAATGTTAGGCCGTATAAGTCATCCCCAATCCATCATTTTCCACAAAACATTTTTTAGTAAGTCAAATGAGTAATACTTAGGTGCCCTGACTTTCCAATGAACTAAATAAAATGTTTTTATAATAAAGAAATTATACCTACTAACCTTAATTTTTTGCCTGAATACACTTGCATTTTTTCAGTTGTACTTATAATTTGTGTTCAAAATTATTTCAGTTAGCCAGGTGTGGTGGTGCACACCTGTAATCCCAGAGACAGGAAGCCGAGGCTGGAGGATGGAAAGTACAAAACCAACCTACACAATTTAGCAAGAACCTGTCTCAAGATAAATAAATAAATAAATAAATAAACAAATAAATAAATAACAGTTGGGGACAAAACTTCATGGTAGAGGGCCCTGAGTTTAGTCCCTAGTGGCAAAAAAAAAAAAAAAAAAAGATTGATTAATTAATTAATTTAAAAATTATATAAATTCTGAATCCAAAGTTAAAATTAATTAATGAACTTCTTTCTCTTCCATAGGGAATAATAGAAACAGCTTTGATTAGAGATCAGAAAATCTAAGTTTTAGTTACAGCCCTGTCAGCCTTCCATTTTTATGACTTTGTGATTAAATATTGGCAGAGGCACACATGGTGTGTCTGTTACCAGAAGCAGATGAGAAAATAATGTTTAGTCACAATCATAAAGAAAAACAAATAACTTTGAACCTTTGGTGAGAATCTGATATAACATCATTTAATGTACATAATTGTGAAGTAGTGACTAAGTAAACATTAATATAACTGAAACGTCTGCAAAAGAAGCAACTAAATTTTACTACTCACGTAATGTTTTATTTACTTAATTAACACTTTAATTTTAAAATAATTAACAATAAAAAAGAATAAATTTTATGTTAAAGATATATCAAATCAGTAATTTACTGGCGAACTCAATTGGCACTTATAAAACAAAATATTATATTTAATTGTTTCTGTATTGTAAATTTTGCATTCCATAGTTACATAGACTGTCATACAATAGCTGTGTTGTTGTTTATTTTGAATCTACTCTTGAAATGCAGAAATAGAGAAAGGTTGGAGACATAAAGTGAATTCAAAGCCCGCTTGAAAGATTGTAAACTCTTAGGAATTTACTCTTAAACGCAGATAGCTGAGTCTGTGTGTGTATAATTATGTTGCAGAGAGATGGACAGTAAGACAGAGGTACTGGGGGACAACAATAAGACTTCTTCAAGCATTCACACAGAAAAAAAAAGTAAAGGAAAATTAAAATATACTGATTTGAAGCTTATACCCTTGTGATTAAAATTCAAACAACAATTGCAGGTTTTTTAGAATTTAGATCAACAATAGTTTTTTTTTTTTTTTTTTTGACCAGGAGAAAAGTATGTTATCATAAAACACATAGTAATAATAAAAAGCAGATATTTAGTCTGGCTTTATCATTGTTTGAAAATGTCTAAAGACAATGCAGTACTTACTGTTTATTATTTGGGAATCTCCATCCCCTTCAATTGCCTAAACCTTGGCATCCAACTGAATATAAGTCAGAATACCCTTTCTTCCTCTCCAACATAACACCCAAAGAGGAGAATTATGACCGATTTTATTACAAGATTATCTCATTATAAATTTGTATATTTTTTCAGTCTGTTGGGATGGTAAGACTATATCCTGAATCCTTATAAGGTCCAGGATCTGAGTCAACACTGAGGCTGGCTGGGAAGTCCATGGATATGCTCTGGGCTTCTGAGACAAGGATACAGGTTGTAGGAGAATCCTTAAAGAAGTTGACAGCATTCAGAAGCCCTCCCTGGGAAGTTCTCTGATACCCCCTATATTGCTTACTCCTTTCCCAAGTAAGTTGAATTCAGGGTTTTAAATCATACCTACTTTTATAGGTGCCTAGTAATCTCAAAACAAGTTCAAAGTCATAAAGCAGAACATATACCTGAGGATTGTCCAATGGGCATACAAAGCAGCTTTAACATTCAGAGTTTTGAGCCAGAGGGAAGATATGCTGTTTTAAGATTAGGTTTACTGCCCTATAACTTCAGTGGCCACTGGATAATGTTCCATGCCTAGGTAGACTCTATGCAGGCCTTACATCAGGTCCACTAAGGTGGCACTAATCCTTTGGACAGTATTTTGGGTGCTAACAGACAGGATATCAAGGCATACTTCACTTCCATAAAGAAATGACTTGCAATGCGATGATCTGAATGTTTCTAAGCAATTATGTGTAACGTGGTCATGTCAAAGAAGAATTCTGTGACTAAATCTCCCAGAATTCTGTAACTGAGTCTTCTGGTTTCTAAGGATAACTTCAAGATTGTTCTAAAATTAATGCAAATGAAAGTGTAGCTGTTTAGTAGACAGTGTGCTATGCGTTTGCAAGGCCCTGGGTTCCAAATCTAGTGCATGTGAATGTACATTCAGACATGCACAAACACACACATACATACACACAAAGTTAGAGAAAGGCTGAATCTATAAATGGACAATGGCCAGAGCAGACATGTTAACATTTGAAAAAATAAAGAAAAGAGACTTAATAAAAATTCTGGCTTAAGTTTGATATTCTTGTGTTATAAATCTTCTGCTCTTTGTCATTAAAGACTAAAGTTTGGTTTAGAGGAAAATGAAGTAAACAATAACAACATTAATATTATAAATAATAATAATGGTTAATTTTGAGTATTTATTTTATGCCAGGCACTGTTCAAAGTATTTTTCATTTAACTTAATCCTAGAAAACAAACCCTATGAGGTTGACACTATTTACTGCAAAATGCCAACCTACAACTTTTTCGGCAACTAGCCTAAGAAGCCAATGACAGCCTTTGCAGGAATCAGTCCAAAAGAGCAAAACCTGGTCAATGACTGTCAGCATTCCTGTGGTTTTGCACCCTTCCAACTCAAGACTTGTCTGAGAAAAAACTCTAAATCAATCATAAAAGGAGCTGAGATTGAACCCAATATCATTACCATCTGCCCTTCTAGATATTTGGCCTCCAGCTTCCTCATGCCAATAGGATTCCATCAGTCCACACTCAAAATGCTTCTTTTTTTCACTATTGTAGAAGAAAAAATTTCACAGGACAGAGGTAAGCAAAGGGAGACTTTACTCAAGACTATGCCGTTAGGGAAGAGAAACCGAACTCAATTCCTTTGAAATAAATGATGGGAGAGTTTTTAAGCAGTGGGTTAAATTAATGAGAAAGTAGGAGGTTGGCTAATGTGGTTAGGCCATCTGTATTTGCTAATTGACACTTCACAGATAAATGTTGGACTCTTTCTCTTCCACAAACACTGGGGATTTGGGGCCCTAACTTCCTTAATGATTACATTTCAAAGGATGGCTCCTAAGCCCCAGAGAAAGACAGTCCTGAGTTGTAAAACTGGCAGGCAGCTGGGGCCAGCAGAGAACATTAACAGTGGCCAGTTTGGGCTGGAGATATGCTTCAAGTAGTAGCACGCTCGCCTGGCATGCATGAGGCACTGGGTTCGATCCTCAGCACCACATAAAAATAAAATAAAGATACTGTGTCCACCTAAAGCTAAAAAAATATATAGATATATATTTTTTAAAAAAACATTAGCAAGTTTTCTAAAGCTCTAAGAAAAGAAAGGTTAGGGTCCTGTGACCCCTGCGTTTGCTTCCTTGCTGACTACAGGCATAGGTGGCAAGCCAGCCATACCACACCAAGTTCAGGACACACAGCTTCTGTTCTGTTTTTATGAAGTCTGTACTCTCCTCAAATAATTGTTACTGTATTTTAAATTTATAAATCGGAGTTTGATTTTAAATTCAACTCTTGCTTTGAATACAATCAAGTCTCATGTTTTGTTGGCAATTGTTGACTGCATAATACCTAATAACCGATCATAACTCTCTCAAAGTAACCTGGACTGTGTTTGTTTATCTTCATCTAGAAAAGTAAATTAACAAAGATTTGCCCTCCCTAATTAAAGAGCGAAGTCCTGTCTGTGGTTTTGGAGATGTCAGGGTGTTCAAGAGTCACAGCCCTTTGTTTTCTTACCTGTTAGTTGATTCAAATTCAGTCTCCACCTTTACCCCACCCCCTCACAATGCATCAAGAGTAGCTCACAGGTCCTGACTCAGCCTGCAGACCTGTTGCAATTGAGCTGTCTTTAAGACTTCCTGCCCTTCCTCCCCTAGGGGGTTTTGGAGAACATATTATTTTACATTCTTAGATAATGAAGGAACTTCGTTTCTGAAATAGTTTAAAACCCAGTAATCAATCAACGGTTCATTAGGAACACTTTAGAATAAGAAGGCTCTTTAAAAAGACATAACATGCTTTTTAGAAAGCCTTTTGCCAATTTAAAAAGTCCCTATATACTATATTTCACTTCTACTATGAACTTTAAATGTTTCCATAATTCTACAAACTATTATTGTCATGGCACTGCTAATTATTAGTAGGAAATAGAGAAATAATAAAGTTTTCTTAGTTTTGATAAGTAACAAAGTTAAGACTCAGAACTAAGGATGAAGGATATGTCAAATCTTGTCAAATTTTAACTTGAATCATCAGAGATCTTTTCAAAATACTAAATCTGACTCAGTGGATCTGGAGTGGGCCTGAGATTTTGCATATTGTTGTTGGTTCACAAACCATACCTTGTGTATGTTAGTTCATGTGAAGACCATACCCAGAAAAGTAAAACTATTTAGTTTATGCTAGAATAGCATACATATCTATACAAATAAAAATAGATTGAAATAAAACCATAATGAAAACATACCAAATATTACAAAAGTTTTAGAATCATGGGAAAATTTTGGTTTTCTTTTCCTTTTTGTTTTTTTTTTTCAGTCCTAAAATTAAATCCAGAGGTACTCTATCACAGAGCTACATCCCCAGTTCTTTTTATTTATTTTTAGATAGGGCCTTGCTAAATGGGGGAGTCTGGCCTCGAATTTACCGTCATTCTGCTACAGCCTCCAGGTGGTGGGATTACAGACCTTCTCCACTGCTCCCAGTTTTTGTTTTGTTTTCTTTCTTTCTTTCCTTATTTATTTACTGATTGGCAACAGGGATTGATTGAACCCAGGGGTGCTTAACCACTTAGCCACATCCCCAGCCCTTTTTGTTTTTATATTTTATTTAGAGACAGGATCTTACTGAGTTGCTTAGGATCTCTAAGTTGCTGAGGTTGGCTTTGAACTCTCAATCATCCTGCCCCAGACTCCTAAACCAATGGGTTTACAGGCGTGTGCCATTGTGCCAGGCCTTTTTTATTCTGTTTTTCTTTTTCCTCATTAAATAGTACTCATCAAATTTTTGGCATGAGTAAACTTTTAATAGAAAGCTCTTTCTTCCTTCTTGTTTTTTAAGTTTAAAAAACTTAAGCTTAAACATCAAGTTTAAGCACCAAGCACTGGTGATGTCCTCCAACAAGAATAAAAGCTGCAGTCCAGTAATGACTATCCAAAGTGACAAAGATTGTAGATAAGGGTTTTGAGAGGTGGACATTTGCCTGATCCATGGTGATCATGTGACTGTGACATTTGTCTTATAGTCCCTCAAATGGCCAAGTGGCTTCTGGAAGTTTTTGATGCAATTCATCCACCTAATACAATTTTAAGTGAGGAGATTTTTCTTTGAGGTGGAGGTAAGATCAAAGAGCTAAGACCCAGCCATTCTGAGAGATTTCTTAGCATTGAGGATAAGTTTCACTTTGGATGCACTCTCAGGACACTTGTGAATGGGAAAAGTTTCCTCAGGTTCCCTGCACACATGACAATAGCCTTCTGCCAGGATCAGGATATCTGTAAAACAAATTCAACAGAACTTCAACTTACTACTATTTTGTTGGCAATGAGACATCTGTCTTAAAGGAATTCTATGAACAGTTTGCAGGCAGTCAACAGGGAGGTTGGATAATTGTTTTAAAAATATTGTTTCACTTAATGAAGATACAATTAATTCAAAAATACTTGGATTAAAATATTAATTAAACTTTAAAAAATACATTTTTGACAGAATTTTTTTTAAGAACCATTTGTGTCTATTCTGCCTTTTATAGATGACAGGACATCAGATTTTAAATTCCAGAGAGAAAACAAGGTAACCCAACAGGCCCTGAAGAAAATATTCAAAGCTCCTATCTGCCAAGAACTGTTTTTCAACCTTTTCAAAGACTTTGCCAAGCAATCTGCACCCTAGTCCTTTAAGCCTTTGCATGAGTCCTTATACAAGCTGCAGACATGCTTCTAAGGAATTTAAGGAATGTACTTATTGATCTGTTAAGTTTGGGGAGAACATAGAAATAAATTCAGGAATAAGAAGAAAATCTTAGTAAAAACCACAGGTTTGGCTTTCACTAGATTTTTTTGTGTTTTATGCGTTCTGCTCTTTGTTATTAAATAAAAAACTAAAGCCTGGTTAGAGTGAAAAGTGAGCTAAATAACAACCACACTAGCAATAATCACTAGCTTTTAAGCATCTGTTGTATGCTAGGCAGTATTAAGTATTTTCATTTAACTTAATCCTAGAAAAAAGTTTATGACACTACTTATTATCCCCATTTAACAAACAAGCCAGAGAGGCACAGGAAGATTAGCCATCTTGCCCAAGGTTACACAGTTAGTAACAGGAAGCCAGTTCTAAGCCCAACCCAACTCTTGAACTCCAGAGTTTACCTCCTGAGAGAAGTCAACCAAATGAAGCTAATGTTTTGGGTAATTTTAAAAGTTTTTGTTTTTATTTTTGGTTTAAATCCAATGCTCGATCACCTGGCACATGGGATAACTCAACAAATTCAGGTATAATATTTACCTGCCAAAGTTAGTCTTACATAGGAGGCTGGTATCGTTGCTAGAGGAAAAAAAATTCATTTTAAGAGGCCAATATTCCCTTTTCTGCCTACCAGACAGTTTTGAACATAAGCCCAGGTGCTGAATTCCTTTCTTAACCCGGGTTTCAAAGGCCTGAAAAGGGTAGAGGTGATTAGGCTTCAAAGACATCAGGTGATGCTAGTTCTTTTCATAACCATAAGTTAGAAAACTCATAATGTCCACAGTCATCTTTTGACCTCTAGAAATAAGTCTCTCTAAAGGTCATCCCAACCTTTTGGGAGGGAGATGATCACATTCTTTGTTTGGTAAGCACATGCAATTACTTGCTGATTGACCTACACAGGCAACAGTGTGACTTCTAAGCCAAAGTTGGCTCATCTGTAAAACAGTGACCTTATTTATCTTGCCTGCATGGAGGCAAGAGGTGCATCAGATGATCTTTTGAGGGCATTTCAAACTCTAAATGAAAATTGAGGGCAAATGGGAAGTCCTAGAGTCTGAGGTTCCTGCGCTGCTCAACCATTTACCCTTCAAAAGCCAAAGACCCACACTTTCGTTAATTGTCCCTTGCAACCAACAACTCCTTCAATAGCAACAAGGTCACGCAGAGTTCCAAACAGGGCCACATTCTAAAGAGTTAGCAAAGATGGATTTTAATAACAAAAGAGAATACATAAAATAAGGAAAACAATTTGTTTCAATAGCACCAGGAAAGAAGTATTATGGATCTATTCTTGACTACAAATCTTATTAATAATGAGCTATGGACAAGAATAAGTTATACAATCATCTTATGGCACATTATATATAGTATTTCTATCTATTTTTAGATTGGATGATTTATATGCTGTATTTTTAACATTAAAATAATTTTTAAAAATCCAAATTAAAGGTATTTAACTGGACTAAATTATATATTGTTTGGGGGAAAGCCCTATTTAAATGGCATTTACCTTCAAAGCTCAATTTTCGATTCCCCCCTTCTTTTCCTAGCTCCTCTCTTTTTCTTCTTAACACTGAAATATGGAGGGGTGGGGGATGAAGACTTGTACATCAGAAGAGGGTAACAAGAAAAATTTTGCTATATTTGATGCTTCATTTTATGTTTACTTTTTAAAATTTAATGTTCTTTTTCAACTTTTAAAACAAGTCTCCCCGCCCCCCCCCCCCCCCCCCGCTCCTCCACCCACCCACCCACCTATGAACTTCCTGGGGAGCAGATCTCAAACTTCACTTCAGCTTTTAGGCCTTAAAGGGGAGGCGAAGGTGGCACAAAAAAAGAGCTATTGCAAAACGCGAATTAAAACGATTTTCTTATTTCGAAGCTCCCGCATTCTGCCAATTTGAAAATACCTTCTATCGAACTCAATGACTTAGGTCCCTACAACCTCACGGTACTTCAGCCACAGAGGTCCTGCGGTTTACAGATCTTCAAGCTACTTTGGGCGCCCACTGCCTCCATGCAGCGCAGCTCCCGCCAGCCTCTTACAAGTTTCTTCCCATCGGTTAATTGCAAGTTGGGACCCCGGAACAGCATTTTCTTTCAAGGATTATCGCTCATCCAGGATGCCGGAACATTCCTCAGGTTCCTCTGCGCAGTGTAATCTGCTCTGGAATCAGGTCCTCGCTGGCGGTGAAAACATCCTCTATGCCCTGCGTGGACGCTGGGTGCCTCTGGGGTTCAGGAGGGCCTGGGGTTCGGCAGGGGTCCCGATGTCTCACTCTCTGTTGGTGCGAAAAGTGACCGCTGTCATGCAGTGCTCCTCGGTCCTCGTGGTCATGCGACCCTTCGTCCATGCAGTCCGCAGCACTTCTTGCGTCGCCTGATAATCCACGACCCGCACAAGTACAGATTTGGGTGGCGCTGCAGGGTCTCGCGGCTGAACTCCAGAAGGAGCGATAATTCGCCTGCCAGAAATTCTCTTTTGTCCTTGAAAGAGAGAAGAGCAGTCGGGTTCCTGGTCGTGGTTCTCTCCGCTCGCCTGGGGAAGTTCCTCCTCACCGACCACGTCTCCGCCTGCAGGGTTCGCTTGAGTCCCCAGCCACCTTTCTGGGTGCAGAAGAAAGAGCACTTTCTCTCGCACCCAGGACTCACAATCCAAATTCTCTCTGGCTGGTGGTCCGAGGGCTGGACCTTCAGACCTGTAGTCCTGGGAGCCGCCCAGGCTTCCGCTGGCCACCGCTGGTGCGGGATCCCGGGCGCCGGGAGCCAGGGGAGTCTCGCGCCCCACCTCGCACCGAGAGGACCCGGGGTCCCGCTGGCTGCGGGGGCAGTCCGTAAAAGGCACAAACCCCTGGGATTCCGGGGTCCCCATCCTGGCAGGAGGATCATTCATACGTTGGTTCTTTCACCAGTTCGTGCAGGAAACTCCTATTGCTCTCGGAAAAGCGCGGGACTGCCAGGCCCTGGGTGTGGCCTCCCAGGCCAGTCTGCGACTCCCGGCCCGGGAAGCTGAAGACCGGATCAGCTAAGACCAGTTTGTCTCTGAACCCCGCCTCCTCTCCTTGAGGATTTCTAGTCAGATAGACTGACTTCAGGTCCCGGTGACTTTTTCTTTCTACCCTGTCCTTAGCCTTGCTCCTTTTGTCACATCTTTGTTTCTAACCTCTATGACTTCTTAGCTATACCCTATTTGCCCACCCCCCTTCCTTTTTCTACAGTGCTGAAGTGCAAATGACGCCTTTCCAAGGCGCCTCCCATAAATGCTCAAAACAAAGTGCTTTCTTTCCAGGGATGCTCTTCCACGGGAAGAAACAGAACCAGGAAGTTTGTTTAGTTATCAGAGTTAATTAAAGTCTCCCCCCACCCCCGCAAAAAAAAAAAAAAAAAAAAATGCCCACTTCAGATCAAACCCCACTGTGATTCCAGTGTAGATCAAAGGGTGAGACTGAAATGTTGAAGCTTTTAGTTTGTTCTTCCTTTAAAATGCCAGCATCTGTGGGACAGTGGTCAATCCAGTCTTCATTATGATTATAATCAATGCTTATCTCAGGAAGGGGTCTAGTGCATTGCCATAAAACTAACTAAACAACAAAAGTAAAACAGAGGGCTGGGGATGTGGCTCAAGTGGTAGCGCGCTCGCCTGGCATGCATGCGGCCCGGGGCCCGGTTCGATCTTCAGCACCACATACAAAGAAAGATGTTGTGTCCATTGAAAAACTAAAAATAAATATTATAATTCTCTCTCTCTCTCTCTCTCTCTCTCTCTCTCTCTCTCTCTCTCTCAAAAGAAAAAAAAAGTAAAACAGAAACTGCTAAGGGGCTGGGGTTGTGGCTCAGAGGAAGAGCACTTGCCTAGCATGCATGAGGCACTGGGTTCAATCCTCAGCACCACATAAAAATAATAATTTTAAAAAAAGGTATTAAAAAAAAAACAGAAACTGCTAAATGAACTTCTTTAGGGTTTAAAATTGTATGATTTTATTTGTATTGCTTGCCTTTTTGTTGTTGTTGTTGTTGTACTAGAGATTGAACCTAGGGGCGCTTAACCACTGAGCAGTATCGCAACCCCATCCTTTTTTTATTTTGAGACAGGGCCTCACTTAGTTGCTGAGGCTGGTCTTGAACTTGCAATCTTCTTGCCTCAGGCTCCCACGTTGCTGGGAGTACAGACATGTGCCACCATTTATGATTTCCTGTTCATTATGGGTAACAGGTATTTGTTTTATTAACAAACATTCACCATTTCACTGATTTAGAAAAATGACTACAATAATGGAAATTTCTGCATGTATATGAAAGACTAGTACTATGGTGAGATATTAGAAAGGAAGAACCTTCTGATGTCTTTCTGCCAAATTATATAAAAATTATTGGAAGAAGAGTGAGAAAAACTGAATTGGATCTGACTGATTAGATGCCTGCCCTTGGGCTGGCTTGTGCTATGTCACAATTTACTAAATTCTTCAGGTGTTTTAGACAAGAATTGCTCTAAGCATTCTCTATATTTAAACTCATTTATATTTTACTGAATAGTAAAGTAGTACAATTTTTTTGGTATTCTTGAGAATTTTGGAAGAGAGGGATTAAGTATTTATCCAAGGTTAAACACTCATGAGTGAAGCCAGGATTCTAATGTGTTCCAAAGTTTGCTTCTTAATGACCTCTAAATTGTCTTCCTATTTTGAGACTATGACTTCAGATTCTTTTCTATTGACTCACTTCACCAGTTATTGAGTATGAACTAAATGTCAGCCACTCTTCTAGATGATAGGAACATAAGGAGGAACAGGTCAAATTGCTTAACTTCTTAAAAGTTTTTAATTCTAAAATGTATATGCATCAAACACAGAAGTCAGAGATAATAAATCAGCTTCAATTTACATGAAAATCACTAGCAGATGAATGCCCTACCCTACTCTCAGAGATGCTGTTCTCACAGGATAAGGGTAGGGTTTAGAATACTGGTTTTAGCAACACCACCAATAATTTCAATGCTAGTGGTCCATGGATACTATACAAAACAATAAAGAAGAGTAAATATACCCTCTCTTATAGTTAACAGAAGTTGAATATTGCCCCTTTACTCCTGATCTTTCTGATTTACACCTACTTTAATCCTCTTATTCCCTAAATAAAAAATAATGATGTCGCTGTTACTGAGTTGACCCCACTTCTTGACAACATTGAATCTAGCACTGGCCTTGCTTCCTGAAGTCTACTCTAGAACCATTAGCACAAGTCCAAATCCAAAAAGGAGGCCCTTTTACCTCTCTACTTAGTAAAATATCTCATAATTATTCAGGGATATATTCTTGCCTTCTGAAATAATAAAAATAAACTAACTTATTTTTCTTTATGTGTGTTCCTGCTCATTTTGTTTACTAGGATGTAAAACTTGTCAATCCAGAAAGCAAATAATGCCATGCCTCCAATTGAAATAGGAATAGGTTGGGACAAGGCAGGTAGAAACTGAGGAGGGTAAACTAAGGAGATAAACTGGGTATACCGGGATAGAATGGACTTAGAATGTTTGGCTAAAATAGCTTGAGGTGTCTTTGGCATTAGAAAATGCAGCGATAAATCAAGTGAATAAACATATTATCAAATGAAAAAATACATTCATAGGGCTTCACTTTTAAAACTTAGGCAATGCACCAGGCAGGGTGGTACATACCTGTAACCCTAGCAACTCAGGAGCCTGAGGCAGGAGAATCTCAAATACTCATACTTAGCAAGACCCTATCTCAAAGTTTTAAAATGAAATTAAAAGGGCTGGGGATGTACCTCAGAAGTAAAACACCCTTGGGTTCAATCTCCAGTACCAAAACAAACACCTTAGGAAATGTAGAGTTATAGAACAAGGAGTGATGAAGAACTTTTCTACTTCAACACATTGGCTACAATTTGTATTTCTATATCTGGTTTCAAGTTAACATGGCACTGTTTTATAGGGCTCCTTGGTACAGTGATAGATTAGTTGCCCACTGGTGCCTTTGGTAACAGAATTCATAATTCAGACAATACTCTTTCCTTCAACAAAAACTCTTAGGCACACTAAGACTGTTATTGAGTAAATTGGTAAATAAATTTGTTTAAATAGTATTTTTCATCTTTAGACATTAAAAGGTCTGACATGTTATGACAGGCTGTGTTCACTCACATATCATTTTATCTGGAAATAGGTAAGTGATTCTCAGCTCTGGTTTGTACATGAAGCTCAGGCCTCGCCTGATACCAATAGATCAGTATCTATTACATACTGATAGATCACATCAGAGAGGGTGCCAACTAGAACGTTTGAATATCTGAAATGGTTCTTGAGAAACTAGTAATAAAGACCACTGCAAAATGGAGCTTACTTATGGGTTGCTATATGCATGTCTACCATGTATGACTATGTTATTCTTGCTAAGTAAATGCAAAAATTTCTCTAACTAGGGTTGAGAAGGCAAAGCTAATGAACATGAAACAGTCAAACTTTCCAATTTGCCAATAAGATTAGGCTATGTCAGTATTTTTCAGACTTCACTGTGCACTGAATCATCTAGGGGAATGTTTAATGAAATAACTGTATCTGGCCTGCTCTGAAAGATTTTGGCTTAATTGATCTGGTCTGTGATTTGGAGCACTGGCATTTTAAAATACTTCCCAGATTAGTTCTAATAGGCCACAAAGTTTGAGAACACTGAAGTGGGTTATCTTTAAGCTATGAAACTAAGTTAAGGACAAATAAGAAGAATAAATATATTGAAATGTGGCACTATATCCAGTAAATATATAATTCCATGTTCATTAAAAACAAAAATGTATATAAAACAACAAATAGTGATAAATCTATGTATGCAATAGAATACCACTCAGAAATAAAATAGATTGATTGTTCTGAACAAAGAAAAGAGCTTGTATTGTATGAGTTTATTTCCATAAAAGTATAGAAAAATGCTAGCTAATCCAGAGGCACAGAAAGCAGATCAATTGTTGGCTGAGTATACAATGGAACAAGGAAATGGGCAGGAGGGGGCAGACTACAAAGGTTCCTGAGAAAGCATTAATGGATGCTGAACATGTTCATTATCTTTGTGAGGATGATGGGCAAAACCTACCAGACTGCACAAATTAAGGATGTGGAGGTAAAAGTAACTGATTTTTTTTTTTTTTATTATTGTTCCTTTTGATGCACAGTCATTGTTTGGATGCCTGGAAAAATAAAGTCATATAAATTAATTTTTTTAAAGGAATTGAATGTACATTGCAGACTACAATTTAAGGAAAAAGCAATCATCTGACAATAAAACTATATTATCTATTACAAACAGAATTTGGTTCTGGGAGGGATAGATGGGATATTCTAGATGACGTGATTTTTTTCTCTTTTTCAGTGATGGGGTTCAAACCGAGGGCCTTGTGCATGCTTGGCAAGTGTTCTACCACTGAGTTATTCCTATATAAGGCAATATTTTGAGCCATGGTGCAATGGTAGGTATAGAAATATATGAAAAGAACAGTTGTGTACTTTTCTCATAAATCAAGAGATGTCTATAATTTTACCCATTCCCATAGTTTCAACTGCAACCTGTTCACTGATGATTCTCAAATTTATATTTACATTTGTATTCTAGATGCTGCTGCTTACTCCTTATTTCTAGTATTACAGAAGATAATATTATTGTCTTATATATATTTACTTCCTTATCTTGAAGAAGGATCATACTTCTTGCTTTTTCAACTTAGAATTTGCAAGGCACTTTCCTGCCCATGTTGACTTTAGCCATACTTGTTGCAACTTATAAGATGTAAGGAAATGTGACATTGGGTGGCTCTGAGAAGATGTTTGGCTCTGGGGTTGCCCCAGATCAGCTGCTATCTGGGTCATGATTCAAGATGGAGGCCCACACATGGAAGAGGACTGAATAGAATCCAGTAGAGCTGAATTAGCTGATACATATTCTCAACAAGAAATAAGTTTATTCAGTTATTTCTATCATAAACCAGTGAGATTTGGGGGGTTGTGTCTTACCATAATCTAATCTAATGAAAAATGTTTCTATTAAATTTTCAACTGGACCTCTCTTCTGAATGTTCTTCGGTCACTCTGAACCTGAAATTTCTAAAATTGAATTAATCATGTATTCTCTTAAATCTGATTTTTCTGCCACAGAACTGCCCATTCAGTCTTGGGAAGATCTGGATGATTCTTCATAAGCAAAAATGACTTGAAATTTATGTATAGACACACCTCTACCAATCCATCTTCAGAT